ACAAACAAACCGTGGCCCAACTGCCTCAGGGAGGCTGGTGACTAGAGTTTAATCTACCCGAGATATGAAGGACCTTTCATAATACATAGTTTTTGTTTTCACAAATATTGAGACTATTTTTTGCATTAATGATAAAGTGGATTAAACGTGCCCCATTTTCCTAGATAATGCCCCTCTGGAGTTTCACTGGGACCAAAGCAGATCTGGCATTTAAACTAAAGAAATCCCTGTTTAGTGTGTGGGAGTCTCTGGAGACACCACAGATCTGCATTGCAGCTGTGAAATACGGCATCTCCTCTGTTGCTTATCAGAGATCTATGTTTCTCCTGGGAAAATTTTGCCCAAAGGATTCAGCCCTTGCCAAATTTTCAACTGGATTTTGTTTGTTTATTTTAAATTTCTTTTTAAACATCTGAAACCAACAAACTTAAAAAATGCTCTAAATCTATCAACTTGAGTTAATCCCTTAAAATAAAATAATAAAAAAATTAATTCCTCCAGGCTGCCAACTTCTATTTCTAAGACTTAGTCTAAAATGGATTTAAATGACTGAAATTCTAACCCTGAAAAAAATGGAGTTTAATTGAAAAGAATCAATGTTTTTCTTTTCTCCTGTGATAGTGCACTTGCTCATGGCATCTGATTCACCTGAATTTTAAAATGGTTCATATCAAATATGCATGTGTGTGTAAAATGCTGCTCTTCTGACATTTGTGCCCACTTTGCAGTGACAGGGAATGCAGGTACCTGAGGAGCAAGTCACGAGAGCCAGCACTGCCTCATCTCCTCCCCAGTCAGTCCTCCAGGAGAGCTTTCCCCATGTCTGTGCTGTCCTCCTTCTTCATATCTGTACTCATTTATCATGCAAAAAAAATCAAAGCAGGGATAGAGCCAGATATTTTAGGTCCAGAACAACCTTTAATTTTTTCCAAGGTTTCTACTATGCTGAAAGGCAGAATTTTGATATGATGCTATGTGGACCCAGGAGGTAGTGTCTGGCTATGAATGCAGTTACATCTCCCTCAGCTTCAGGGGTGCTTAAGGCAATTGGGTGGGCTAGACTCTATAAATAGTGTGTACTAATCCATACTCCAATTTATAGAGAGGGTTGGTAAAAAACACACAGCTACAATCTATTCAGGGAATTTGTTAATATTAGAACCTCGGGGAGCAGATCTGCTTACTTCATAGATTTCTGTTTGTTGGAAATATCAGTTCAATAAACAATTTTCTCAGCTTCAATGTCTTAGTGGTACAGGCATTAGAGATGAGGATGATGTTACAGGCCTTCGCAGTAAGTCCACAGTTTTTTCTCATACGTGCACAATGCATAGACATCTGCAGTACATGAAACACTTGGGCGTCAGCAATCATGAAGAAGTCACCAAAGTGAAACATCAAAAAAGTACACTCCTTAAGGACCCCTAGTCCTCTGGATAAGATTCATATAGAATTCTAGAAGCATTAGGTGGAGATCTTCTATTATACCTCAGCAATAAATATATTTGTCCTGGAAATAGCTTCAACTGCATATTTTGACTGAAGTCTGTTTGCTTTGGAGAAAGCCAATAGTCAGGTATCTGTAGGTGTTGGTCCCATGTCATCATCTGGGATCCTGCTGAATGGTGGTAACATACAGAGCTGTCCAATGTAAGGTATGGCCAAGACTGGAGAATCCCAAGTTTCCGGCTTTTGCTGGTGGCTATCCAGGGAATATGGTATTCATTGAGGGTGAGGACAGTAAAGGGGAACAATCCTCTAAGATAAAGTAGATTCTGATGTTTGTATCTGTATCCAAGCTATTGCAGAGTATACAATGGCTGTTGTCTTTGAAGAGCTTTGCTACCTGTCTCATTACCCTGGAAAAGGCTTTGGGATATTAAATATGGAACAGTCAATCCCACTATCAGTAAATAACCCTCTGGGAAATAAATACAGTAAAAGAGTTATCCTTGTCTTAGCAGATGTTGCTTGTTGATATAATCTCAAATTCAGAGGTTATTGTGCTTTAAGAGCTTTTCTGGAACCATTCAGAGTACCTGCATGTGGTGGCGTAAATGGGTGGAATATGATTTAGCTTTAAAAGATCTGGCTCTGTAACAATACATATCTCTAAAAATTATATTTCTTCTTATGATCAGCTGGATGAATGTCTTGCTGCGATACAGCAGCGTCACAGTACCGTACGTCTTGAAGGCCGTGCTAAATTCAGACCCTGGCTCAAGCTAAAAGGCTGGGAATGTCATGATGTGCTGTTCAGGGCCAGCTTGCTGTAGAGGACGGCAGAATTCAGGGCTGCATCCAGACCCACAGTCCCCATTCTCGCACTGCTGGGAGCACTAGGTTTGCCCTACTTGTTTGACTAGGAATAAATGGGACTGGATTGGTTTTCTTCCAGACCGGTTGTACTTCGCCTCATTATAAACTTCACCATGTGCCATCCTGTCCCCTGCCTTATCTCCGCGTCTCCTTCAAGGGCAACGCTGGAATGCAAGAGGGCTGCTTTTGCTGAGAGCCGTTCTGAGCTGAGAGGAGAAGCAAAAATGGCCCTTTCTCCAGCTTGGTGTTTCAAACAGCTTCCGCCTGCGGGGAGGGGATGTGTTGAGAACGTGTGAGAGAAAACACTGAAAAGGGAGAAAAGGCACAAAAAGGGAGGGGGAAAAAAAAGTACAGCAAGGAAGCTAGAGACAAACTTCAAGTTGTGGATTATTTCTCACCCAGGCTCTAATTAGGAAGCCTCTTATGGGACTGTGAAGCTGTCAGGCTGCCAAATGTCAGCGTGTTTATCAGAGATCAGGCGAGTCTCCAGCAGCTGCAGTTTGGTGCCACGATCCTCCTGGGTCCTTCCAGCCTGTGTGACTCACACTCGACACTGGCACCTCCAGAGGCTTCAGGAGGGCTTATCCTTCTCCCTTAAGAATCCAAAAATAAACCTTTTGCTGGAATCTGGCCTCTTCATTCCAGTTCTGTGCAGAGGGGGTTAACCATAGGGTGCAGAGCCGCTTCTGCAGTATGTGACTCAGATTCCCAGGGAAATCCCCAGCTTATCTGATGGAGCCTGTTAGTCTGCTAATTGAATAAGCTCCTATTAAAAGTGCAATGTTTTTTAATGACTGCTAACAAAGGGCCAGATTCTGATCTGATCTTTTCGCTTGGGATCATTTTTGCTGATGGTCCGGCCCTGCCCCTAATTGCAGCCGTGAGGGGTGGAAGGGAGGCAGCTGCCTCCCCAGAGCCCAGCCTCGCTCCAGAGGGCAGAGCTGTAACCAAAGCGCCAGCTCTAGGGCTTTCCTGGTGCAAGTCAGGTACCAACTGGGCATCGAAACTTCTGTCTTAATGAGCCAGCACTTCATGAAGTCTAATAGGCAGGAAGCTTTTAATGGGGATCTTTAGGAAAAGGGCGAAGGCTGCAGTGCAGCCAGCAGTGGAGAGCATTTGTTGGGAGACTACCAGTGAGTTCGTGTAACATAATTGCTGCAAATATCAAATACGCAATCCAAGCTGTGCTCTGAGTAATTAACTTTCCCAGTGTTGAAATCAGGTTGATTTGTTGATTCTGCATATAAGATGTTGTCTGTGTCTGCATAGGAAAAGGGCTGTGTATGCCTCTGCATAAACACATTCAAACCTTAATTTTAATTAAAATTATGTGCATTACATCTGTATCTCTTGTTTTCTATGGGAATTGAATTTGAGAAGGTATTTGCCTAATAGGAAAGCAAAAAAATGTGGTTAGCATTTCAAGTTAACTTAGTTGGGTTCCAGGGAACTTGCGAAGGAGAGGGTAACAGCTTTGATTTCAGCCAGGTCCCATCTGCCCCAGGACGCAGTTGAGCTCTCTCGCATGACCCTGTGACCACATTTGCCTTCCTTGTCTCACCTGAAACTCCCAGTGGGTCCCCCAAGCCTACTTGACATTAGAGCCATGAAAAGTTATCCAATATAATTATAATGAGATGTTTTTTATGTTTTTTTTTGATAGCCAGGAATGAGATCTGGCCACCTTCACCCCCATGCGTCTCCACACCCACTCAGTTCCTTTGCGCGTCCTTTTTGTTTTTCTCCTAGGAAAGTTTCAATTAAAATGCAGGAGATTCTTTAAGAAGGTCCAAGGTATCCACACTGACACTGAGCCACTGCTTTAAAAGTTCATAAGCAATCCATAAGTGGTGGCTTTTTTCCCCACAGTAACAATAGCGAAGTGTCAAAAATCTCAAGCTGCTGTTATCAGAGGCAGAGTCTAAAACCCCTTTCTCAGCCTGTTTTCTCTTCCCCACTCCCGAGTTGTCAGATGCTGTGACACGGCTCCATCACGCCACGACTAGCAGTCCCAACAAACAGAAAATGATTTCCAACTGGCAAACACGCTGTTTACTTTCCAGAAAAATTGCACTTTCCCATCTGACAGCTGATCAAGGGATCTCCTGCTGCTGTCAGCATGAAGAAGTGTTTAAACACACGGATGGAAGTTTAAACATTTTCTCATTATCACAGAATAAAAAAAAAATTAAAAAATAATAAAAAAATAAAGGCATTGAGACTCTCCGACCACCTGCTGTGCCGGTAATGAAGCGGTGTCACATGACCAGCCGGCGAGGACTTTTATCTCTGCCCCAATATCATTACTGAAGTGACACCTGTCACATGACCCGCATCAGGGCTTTCATCTGGGCTCCCCAAATGCAGTTCTGGCTTGTGAGGGGGATTTTCCTGGCGCTTTTTCCCCCTTTAAAGAGCATTGCCCGCTTGCGCCGTTACAGACAGGGGTTTGCAAGTATTAAAAGTCCTCGAATTTTTTCTAGGGGATATGTAATTTGGCCAACAAACTTGCTCTGGGCTGAAGTAAAACAGAGAATCTTGGCCTGGGAAAGAAGTTATTTCATTTACTTCAAGATGTTTTTAAAGCAAATATTTAAGTCTGCTGTTAAACTCTCTTTACATAAAAGAGGATGTTAAAGGATTTCTCCAAAATCTCAGATTTGTTTTTAATTTTTTATTAGGTGGTGAGAAGAAATAGTTTGATGACCCTCGAGCACAATGATCTCCATTTACGTGCACTTCATAAACTCTCACCTGCTTTACCAAGGCATCCTACCCATGCCAAGAGAAAGTCGTTTCTGGAAAAAAGGAAAGGTCAGTCTCTGCCAACTCTCTGCCAATGTCTGGGATTTTTTGTGAGGTCTTCAACAGTAAACACCTAGATTTGAGATGGGCCCACATACACGATAGCAGCACTGAGCACTTATTCACAAGAACCTGTTCAGTTATTACCTCAAAACAGAACATCAGTCATCCAGATGTGACAGGGGACGGCCACCCACACGAACTACATGTGAACAGGTCGGAGATAAGAGAGTCTGAACTTCATGGCTTTTTCCTGCTCCTCCTTTCCCACTCCACACTCAACCATGCATGAAGTCTGGTACTTCTCTGACCCCTTTGTAATCTGATTCAGCTTAATAAAGCAATGAAAAAACAACCCAACAAAAGAGTTAATAATTTTCCACCTGTTTAGTGAGTTAAATCAGCTCATCAAGGGCTTAGAAAAGTGCCAGAGAGCAAAAGAGAGACTGTGAAGCCTGAAGCAAGGAGGGGAATGGAGAAGCAGGACTGCCTTTTTGGGTGGCACTAACTTGGTGCATGAATTCAGATGTGTTTCTTGTTACCTACTCTTCCTGACTTATTACAACACTATGTTCATTTTCTCTGAGAGCTGTTGCCTCTGAGATTGTGCAGGCCAGGGGATGGAAAATCTACTGAGATCAGTACTCCTGACGTAAATAGTACTCCTGTTAGTTTGGGAGAGGAGCGGTTCTGGGGCAATTTCTCTGATCTGGCATATTTTAGGCATTGGGCCTCCAATGTTGAATTAATGAACAGAAGAGTGCTGGATTGCAGCACATCCCTTTGCCAGGGTCTTCCTGGCTTTCTGCCCCCCCAGGTTCAGAGCTAGAAGGCCCTTTGGCAATTTAGCATAAGGGCTTTAGCCATTATTGGTTAGCAGTTATGTAAAAGAGCAAAGCCATTCTCTCTGCTGCTCCAGGGCAGAAGAAATTTACAACTTATGTTCTGGATAGACAACATGAGGAAAGTGAGTCAGTTCCCATCATTAGATCCCTCACTGCCCATGCATAACAAATCCTTTCATTTAACATATCTCGAGCATTTAGTGGCTCCCAATTAGGAACAGACATCCAGCCATAACCATCCCATGGCAGGCATTAGAGATCCTGCTTCTTCACTGCTCTTAGTCCAGCCATGTCCAGGAGTGCATAAGTAATGCAGAACCCCCCTATCCTCACATGGGTGTCCTATTCTGAACATGCATATGACAACACAGCATCACTCAGAAATGGAGAGCTACCTTCTACCTACACAGACAGCCATCCACTTTAGAAAAGCAGTGCAACAGCCAGTGCCAGCATGCTTAAGAACTATTGTTTTTCTTTGAAAAAGTTTCCAAATGCCCTTCTCTCCATGAGTAAACCTGCGCATGGGAAGCTGACACAGAGATACACGCCTAAGCAGAACTCTACAGGATACTCTGCTCTGATCTTGCTAAAAGTGCTGTGAGGTCACTGTAATATTATTCCAGATTCATTGCAGAGTAAATGAAAGGCAGAAGGTCCAAATATTGAGACAAATTTCTGTTCAGGATTGCAAAGGGAGGTCAGGCATTCACACTCACTTTGACAGTGGCTGTTGTTTGGGAGATCTAGGACCATGCAATCCAGAGATAGAAAGACTTTTTGGAACATAGCATGCCTCTTCATCAAGGCAGAAAAATTTAAGGACTGTCAGGTAACATGAGGAATACCTCTTGTTCTCTTAACTGAGCAGTGCCTGCAAATTGTCTGTTCTTTTATGTAGCTAACCTGTATGTTCCTGCAACTTTGTCTACAGCAAGGACAAAGGGGAACACAAACAGTTGTGCTGCTTTCTGTCCAGATCTGCAGTGTTTGGTTAGCAAACAATGGAGTGGGGTGGGGCTGGAGATGTAGGTCCTTTACACTAAAATCTCACCAGTCTTTCTATGGCTGCCACCCATGTCTCTGGTGTTTCCCCATAGCTCCATGACTGGTTTTGTTCCAATGCCTCAACATTCTGCATAATTCTTGCTCAGAGAAGTTCTCCCAGTCATGCCAGTGACACTACTCAGATGAGTAAGAAGTATTCAAGAAGGTTTGCATGCCTGCTCCTTAATGATTTATCTTTGTTTTCCTTTTCTTCCCAGATCTACTGCAAGGTTACACCAAGACTTCTGGTTTCCGATCTCCCAGAGCTGAGAAAAAGTCACAGATATCTGAAACTAAGCGGACTAGTACATGAACACAGTAAGTTACTTGCTTTCCTAGTTCTTCCAGGAAGAATTAAATGAGAAATTTCACAGTAACTGTAGTTGGGAAGAGCTCTCTGATTTCCCCATCTATCCTGATCAGCACTCACCTCAGATTAGTTTTCCTTCTTATAGTCTGTCAGCAGCCCTGAGATCAAGGAGATTACCCTGGTAACTCATTAATGAGCCAGGACTCTCTGCAACAGCTGGACTAAAAATGGCCCATGTTTGTCTGCATCTTAATTCTTTGCCATCCCCTCTGCTCATCAACACCTGCACACATTTGGGACCCACTATAAGACAACCCTTAAATTCAGCTCTAAGCAACCAGTCTGCAATGCACATGTCTAATGCTCTGCTGGTGTGGAACCAGTATGCTGGTAATCCTGTTAGTAATGGCAGAAGCTCCCTCTAGGAAATTATAACAAATAGTCTTAAACAATTCCTTTTGTTGACAACTTTATCCAAGAAACCATCTTCCCTGGAGACTTCACTCAACTTTTGACTAATCCCCTCCTTCCCTCAGGAGCTCTTTTGTTGAAGGAGATTGTAGGCAAACCCCAGGAATGACAGGTCTCTGTAAGCCTTGGATCAGCCTCTACATTCTTTCAATTGTCATTCCCCATCTGTCCTGTTTGTACATCGATCTTCTGGTCCAGGGATCTCTCTATTAACTGACACATGGTTGAGTTTATTCTGAAAGTCCAGTGTCCAGACTGTGCTGTTACATCTTCGTTGCCAAGTCAATCTTTCTGACATTGCTTTCTGAAAAACAAAAGGCAGGACATCTGCACAATTTCATTCTCTTCTACTGACAGGTGATTTTTAAAAATACCACCACCACCCCCCCTCTAAAGAAAATAATTGTCCTTGTTTTACACTCCCAAAGATTGTACTTCATTTTTGTCAATATCAAGAGTTACTTCAAAGGTCCTTGGTGTAATGGAGGGTAGAATATACCCCTGTTGCAAAGGGACTCTGTTAGGATAAAAATCCATGGCCTCAATCCTGAATCAAAGGGAAAAATAAATCCTAATTCCAAATATTCTGCAGGGCTAGTCACTTCAGTTACTTCGCTTGTTAACAGTTGATTTAAAATAAGCTCTAATTTTCCTGTAGATTCAACTACACTTAGCTAGTACAGCAGTACATACATATAAGAGGCACTGTGTTATTTATGTGCATTTTAAGAGGCAGCACAAGAACAGAAGCAGATTCCAATGACCCATACGTTCCTCCTCAGCAGGTAGAGGGAAAGAGGTGAAGTAGGGTGGAAAATGGATGGGGTGTTGGCACAGGCGCCTGGCACTATCTCTTCCCTTCCTGAAACCAGAAGGAGAACAAGGAGGAGACTGTGATGATGTTTTCCCCCTTGCTGTGTTACTCAGGGCCCACAGATTCATGGTTGAGCCTGGTATGTTTAGTTTTTTGGTTTTGTCTATTTTTGTAATTTAAGTCAGGTTGGCCAATGAAGGAAGGCTGCCCAGTTTCATTATGTTCCCAGGAAATTCCATTCTCTCATGTGCCAGCATGAGGCTGTTGTGCTTTAGATGCCTATCTACCTCTGATTAGATTTGAAAAAGCATAAAGAGCCCCCTGCTTTCCATTGGTAGCCTATTAAAATGACAAAAAAAAAACCCAAACCACTGTTTCATTTATAACCTTGCTTGCCTGTCTGAATCCAGATGCCTTTTTTAAAAAGAGAATTAATAATATGAACACCATTACTTATAGAATGTTTTCCTGTAGTTAAGCGCAGAAGAAAAGTTGAGTTGACATTTCAGCTTGGTTAGTATATTTTGTAAGCAGTTCAAACAAAGGGACACAATCACTTTGAGGCCAGGTTAATCTTAAAAAGAAAAAGAAAATATCTAAGAGTATCTCCTGCTATTTCCATGGTTTCACTATTTTAAATGATGTAGTTGTGAAATACTCTCAAAATCAGTTAAAACTGGCCAAATCAAAGTTCATTGAACACTGAAGCATGAGTGCCTTCCTCAACTGAATTGTCCCAGAAGCCTTAGTGGAGCTGACAACCAGCTTTTTTGGCAGGATTAGTTCCCCTCTGATCACAGAGAGGGAACAGCCACCCTGTCTGCACTTAGCTGAGCAGGTGAGCAGGGAATTTATTCAGGCTGCCTCCAAAACCCAATCTGGCCACAAGGCTGGCAATGTCAGGTCCTTCTCGAAAGGACTCCAGGCTGTCCTGTCTGCCTGCTGTTGTCTAAGTGATGAGGACAGATGGGGTAGAAAGAGGCTGTGAGACCAGGCACTGAGTGCTGGGTCCTGATCCTATAGCAGGTACATGCCATCTACCTGCATTTGAAAGCACAGATGGGAAGCTGAGGTTTGCTCTGCTCTCACAGCTCGGTTGCTTCTTAGCTTGGCAGACAATAAGACAGTCAAACTAATTTGGCCCCAAGATCAGTTACCAGGTCTGCCCTGCAAGCGCAGACCCAGCTGGTGACACTGACTGGACACATGCTGTTAACAAATGCACAAAGTAAACAAAGAGACAGGATATAATAAAAGGGTATTTGCTGGTAATTTCTTTCAATAACAGTGATTTTAAGTGATCTTTTGGTCTTCTGTAACAAAAAGGACATGAAAAATGTTGAAGCTGAAGCATCATTTTGATGTGTGTCATATTAAAATACTGATTAATTAAAACCGAGGATGTTAAGAGCTAAGAAGATTTTGCCTAGCTCTGCTTAGGTTCCATGGCATGTGAAACCAAAACAAGCAAGCTTTAAAATGTGAACTCAACAGACAAGGACAAAGGCAAACAAAGCAATTTGGTCAGTTTAAGCAATGGGGAAATGAAGCAATATTTTGGCTGGGGAGGCATCAGAGGAAAGGGCACTGGTCTGAGACTTGGGAATATGACGAAACAAACCCAAACCTCCCATGATACCACTAAGCATTGTGCAGTGAGGGCCACTGGCTTAATGATTGATCTCTGCTCTCTGAATGTGAGATTTCCCACTCTGTCCTCAGCCTGGGATGTGGTCGTCCAGCCCTGGGTATCAGTTCTGTTTTCCCACCTTCAATACAAAAAGGAATTAATGTGCTAAGGATGACAGCAGCAGCTTTGACAGCGGCAACTACACGCTTACCCAAGAATTAGTCAATCATCCCTGCTTTCTACCAAAACTTGCTCCAGCCTCTTGAGAGATGGCCTTTTCGGTAAGAAGCGAACAGGTCACAGATTTCAGGTTGCAGTCTCACTCCTGGAACTGTGAGCACTGATTGTCCTGTGGAAAAATCAGGTTAAAGAGAAAGCTGCAAAATGGTCCTTTCCTTCACTGTGCTACTTTCCTAATGCTCTCCTGTGACATTAGCCACAATACAAACTAATACAGGATCCTATTACTCACCGCTCTGTTCCTTCTGATTTTTATTGGAAAATTATTTCTTTAATCTAGGCACCCTTCTCTAGAAACCTCATTTACAGTTTCTTTTCCTTTTTATTTTTCTTTTTCTTGGAGCAACCAGCAAAATATTATTTGGTAGACCAGTGGTGGGAATGCAACCAGCTAATCAAAAGGATTCAAATGGATCTATGCACTGCCAAGCTCTCTCCTTCCCACCCAGCGGAGGGGGAAAAAAAGAAAAAGAAAAAAGAGATAGAGCGAAGGCACGGAGCTTCTCTCCTTCAGCAATCTCACAAATGCAAAACCTTCCACTCCAGTGACTCCTCATTAACTTACCAAATCTGACAGTCTAATTATCGGAGCTGCTTCACGCTTAGAATAAATAAATACTAAAGTGGGTGTTTAAAGAAATTGAGCAGTGAAATTCAGTCATCTAGACAGTCAATAGAGAGAGAGTTTATTTTAAATTTTTATATTCTTATGTATTTATATCATTTTAGGATAGATAATGAGATAGTTGTCTTTCAGGCTAATTGAGTTCCTAGGCTCATGGTTGCTTGCTGTCACAATCTCAAACTTAGCTTTAACTTTTGTGCCTTAGAAATCTGATCACTACATCCCCATTTGCTCTTTTCTGCTGATAACTGGGTGAAGGCAGAAGTGCACCTGAGGATGGCAAACGACTACACGGGAGTTCCAGTCTGGATGTCTTTCACAGCAAACAAGACAACTAAATCTTCTCAGATTTGCATTTAAGAGTGTTAAAGGGAAAGTGGAAGTTAAAGAAACCTCAGATAAAACTTGCAATTAGACAAAGTACAGAAAAATGTCTGCTAACCTCTGATGCAATAACGTCTGCCTCCATGAAGGGTATTAACAGCACTCCCCCCAAGAGTAGTACATCTCCCTGAACAATAAGACCTTTATAGAGATTCTCTGGCCTGAGATCAATGGGATTCAGAGCATTTGATCCATGTCTGTAGGACTTTGTTTCCACAAGTCATGTGGGCCAAACTTTGCGCCAGTTGTGCTTTTGCAAGAGCATGAGCTGGGGAGTGAGCGAAGGAAATCATCCTTCTTTTCCCATCTTCACCCTGTGCTCCTAAACAGGGCCCAACATCTGCCAGCATGATGTCTGCTCCAGGCCACCCGGGAAGAGCTTAAACAGGACAGCATCTCCAGAGACCTGTGCCCTTGGCACACATCCACTGTGATGATGCAATCACTCTTTCCTAGGGTGGTGGCTTAATGACATAATACAAAACCTCAGTGTCCTATCAGTATTTACGTGAGCAGACTTTCCACCGCTGTGGAGATCGGGCCAGCTGAAGTGAGGGGTGTTTTTCCTGACTTACGTGAAGATGTGCTTTATTACCTCACAGAAAAGACTGTGTTTGGTTCAGGAGTGATGGCTGATTTGCTGCTCAACACCAACTTTGGTTTATTCCCTTATTAAGACACACTATAAACCAGATTGATATACCTGGTGGGAACTTCACTTTCTAGGTGTCTGTATCTGATTTGCAGTGAAGGAAATCCATTTGCTCTATACAGACGTGGCAAAGCACAGAGGTAAAAAAATGTAAGTGACTATGTAAACCTTTTAGCTATGTAGGAGAAGCTAGGGAAAGCAGCCAACCCAAACAAAATGTCCATGAAAGCCAGGTCTTCTTTATATGTGCCCTGTGATAACATCTACCAGCACTGGCTAATCCCAACAGTTACGGGATTTTTGGTAGGCAATGGCTTGCAGCCCTAACCTCCTCATTTCCTACACTTCCTTTGCATTAGTTTAGATGCAACAGGGCATTAAAATGACAGTGCTCTGTCGACACCAAGCCTCCCTCCTCCTCCTTGTCTCTGAAAAGCTGAATAGTGGGCTGTTTTAGGAGAAACGGTACAGTGTCATCACCACCTGGCACACTGGTTTTGAATTGCTGGGGGGAGGTAGCAACCAGAGACCAACCATATCCAAAAGGAGCAAGTCCCTCCTGGTCAAAACCAGGATCATATCCACTCAACACGCAATCCTCCTCAAGGAGCACAAATTGGACTTGATGACTGACTGCTGTGCTGATGGTATGCCCAGGGTTTAATATTCCCTGAACTGTGAGAGAGGGCTATACTGAGCTTGGACATTGGTCTGGTGAGGACAGGACCCCTGGCCCATGTGCCTGGGTTGTTTGGCCAGAGCTTTTCTTTCAACATGTTTTCTTGGGAGCACACTGGTACTAATCCCAAACCCCACTGCTCACCCTCCCTGCTTGCGAGCCTGTTCTAAAGCATTTGAGGGCAAAAGAGAGGGAAAATAAACCCAATCTATAACTAACAATAATAAGCTGCAATTGTTACTGTGTCTGACCTGTCTGACAGCAGAGTGAGATACCTCCTCAGAAGGCCCTTTGCACTTCAGGACTGACACTAAGTTGAGAGCACAGCTCATGCTTTCTTGATTCAAGGATCTCATCTTTCTTCCAGGAGTGATTAATTGGACAGAAAACATTCTGCTTTAGCAGGTGGCAAAGGGTTAGACTGAAGTTTTGTCAGAGCTGCTGCAGTGCAGGGCTGCACTGCACAAAGATAATTGTCTCAGGATTGGCTTAGGCCAGAAAAAGGACAGCAAATGCTCCAGTTTTACAAAAGGTCATCACTGCCACCCCTTAGGCTGCTAGCCACAGTGGAAGGAAACTGGAGAATACCATCCTCCTCTCCTTCGTTGCCATATCCAGAGGTGCTGGTGGCATGTACAGAATTAAGGCCACCAAGACGATGAGTGGGGTTTGAACCCGGTCCTTAGCAGTCCCCTCTAGTACTCGAGGCACAGGAGCAAGCAGCTGTAGGAGAGGCCCATCTGTGGACTGGCCCCACTTGGCGACAGAGTCTTCCTCTTACCGCGTGGGCTACTCTTTTTTCCTAGCACTTTGCATCCAGATGTGCATAAGCAACAGCAACCTGTTCTCTGCAGGAGCTGACCACCAGGAAGCAAAGAGCCCCTTGATCCCTCTCCCCCTTACCAGGGGTAGCAGCCAGCCTCTGGTCACCAGCATTCCCCTTAGTAATCAGAAACATGCTATTATTTTTGAAACATTGATCTCTCCAATTATTTTTTCCTGGGAATCGACCTTTGAAAAACATCCTTTGGCTTTCAGCTTGTGATAGCAACTTATAAAAAGGACAGTTATGGCTATAATTATTTCATAAAAATAGAAAATAATTTCTTATGAGAACCTTTTATTTTTTCAAATGCTGTTTCCCGCTTACTCTCTCACATAACTTGGGATCAACCCCCTCCTCCTTTCACCTTTCATCTCTGGCTCATTCTTTGCCCTTCTCCTTTAACTTTCTCCTTCAGAGGATGGGGACTAATAGCCGGCATCCTCCAGAACAAAGTGGGAACAGAATATATTTAAAATCTGCACCGTGTTATCATAGCAACCAGAATTTTTAAATTATACAGTTCAATTCCAAAATAGTGTGATGCCAAAATCACATAAGAGAACAAATGTCTTATACAATTATGGCAACAGGGATGGCTACACGGGAAATTATTCAGAATTGCCTAATTTTTACAGGCTTAATGAGTCAGTCATGAATATGGTCTTGCATGATCATACTGTACTTGTTTCAGCCCTGTGCACTTTGATTCCCTTCCCAACACATCGGTTGCTATGATAACGCCATGCAGTTTCCTGTCCACAAGGTGCTTCTTGCCACAATATGGGGGATAATAAATATGGGATGGTGCATAAACCCAGGTGAAATGCATCTATCCCCTCTCTGGCAGCGTGCTGGAGAGATTGACACATTATGCCAATCTCTTTTCTCATTCCTTCTGTTTCTCCTCACTCTCTCCCTTTCTCTCACATTGTCTGTCTCTGTACCTGTTTTTTTCCACACTCTCTCTCTCTCTTGGCACTGACACTTTCATCTTCTCCCTTGGGGATTGGAGATGTCACTGCGGGAAGTGCTTGTCCGCCTCTCCGGCAGCAGCAGAGCCCTGTGGCTTTGACAAACCTCATTTAATTGGGAGGAAGCCAGGAGGGTTTGAAAGAACTGAAACATCCACGAAACTCCTTTTATCAGGCATAATTTAAACTCTGCATGGAAAAAACCCTATATGTATAAAGAAAAGTCAACTTCCCTCCTGCTGTGCGTGCTCCCCTCCTCCCCCCCCGGCACAGGCAGGCTCCTGCGAGATTCCATCTTTTCATTTTTCTAAAAGTGTCAAAGTAGATTTGTGCTCTGTGGCTGGGTGAACAGAAAAGGAATGCAGATGTCTCTCACTCATGCACATACACACAGAGAGCACCTTCTAAAGGGCGGCGGATTGGGAGAGACGCGAGCTGGCTGCTCCTTCACTTGGGATGTGTCGCAGGAGCCAGAAATTAAGTTTTCAAATAGCTTGACAACACAGTCCAAGAAGGCTGCTTCTTAATTGCTCCTGTCTTTAAAAACCCCACCAAAGTAACTAGTGTAGTGGGTGCCCAGGAGGCAACAGGGAATGAGGGCTCTCTGGCCTATTGCCCCATAGGAGGGAGCTTTTCCTAGTAAGGAACAGAACCTGTAGCTTGAGAGACCCTGTATTTATTGTCAGCTCAGGGCAGGAGAGGCAGATCAGTGAGTGTGCAGCTGTGTGCTTAAGAGAGTGGAGCAAGGGAAGAAGAAAATAAAGCAGGTAAAACTGAGGGAGAACTGGTGCGACAGGGTACAAGGAACAGCTGTTGTCTCTGAACATCAAAAGGGAGCAAGAGGAGCTGTGCAAGGGAATTGGGGCTAGCACATCATGCTGAGCAGCTGGGAATTCAGGACATCAGGAGGGATTGGTGTGTGAGTTACACTGAATACACAGTGTGAGCCAGCCCGAGGGAAAGCTCTGGGCCCCTGGGGTTACAGAATGGGGGAGAAACGACCTGTCAAACATATGCACCTCCGCTTTGTAAATGTACCATGGTGGCAGCCCATCCGGGTCCCCTTCTAGTATTAACACTGTGGTCAAGTGGAAGAAAACAGAAAAACAAGCTGTCAGATTTGCAGTGGGATGTAAACTTTGCAGCATAAGGGAATGAGGAGGGCAGGCAGGCAGAAAAGAGAGAGACATCCCGGTGAATGGCAGGGACTTTCAAAGTACAGAAGAAACTCATAATAAATGGAATGTGAAGTAGCTCTTTCTTGGTGAGCTGAAATCGAGTTAACTTACCGGCAGAAACCTGATAGAGCTGAGGAGGCAGAGGGCTGAAGAAGCAATGAAGCAGGGCATCTTGCGCAGAGATCCGGCCTCGAGGGAAGGCTGTAAGCATCCTGGAGGCCAAATCCTCCGCTGCTGGCACCCTGCTCAGCCTCGGAAAACAGGAGAAAAAATAGCACATGAGATGAGCACAAGCCAGAAGGCTGGAACCAAAACTTGACCCAGCCCTTCTTGGGGCTTCAGGCAGAGATAGTGGAGGGACACAGGGAGCTGGATAAACCCACCCCAGCTGTATAGCTTTCCAGGACATTTCCTTTTCCATGTGAGTTTGATTATGTTGGAGTACAGGATTTATATATACATCCTATATATAATCCTGTATACATGCAGGACTTCAGCTCAAACTCATGTTTTCAGAGGAATTTCAAAAATAAATTGTTGTTTTGTAAAAAGAAGGTTGTAAGTAAAAGGGGAAGTGCAGTGCTAAGGGACATGGTGTAGGGGAGGATTTTGTAGAGTAGGGTAGATGGTTGGACTCGATGATCCCAAGGGTCTCTTCCAACCTAGATGATTCTATGATTCTATGAAAATGCTGCTGGGGAGGCTGTATTTTACGTGTCATAACTGGAGCATCAGAGGTTGGTGTTACCAATTTACAGCAACAATGCAAGTGCACAAAATAACCTGACTGGCCCACTGAGTAGACCAGAGATCTAAACTAAAAAAATACAGAAAATACCATTTCCCTTTTTCCTACCCTAGTACCAGTAGTGCGGCTGGCTGTAAAATGTATTAGGGATTCACAGAGATGAATCTATTTCTCAGGATGAGTGCTCAAAATAGATGTAATACACACGTGCTCCATGCACAACAAATACCAATGCCAAGTGGCTGCTTTCTAGAGGAGCACACAGCTGGGAACAAGGAAGTGGAAGGGAGAAAACAAACCAACAAGGAAACAAATAAAAATAGTCATTTAGTTTTACAGCTTTTAGTTTGTTTGTTTGTTCTGATCATGTTTCAGCGTCAGGAGGCCCATCAGAGCATGGCCTGTTGTGCTTCCCCCCCACAGCCCCCACCAGTGCTTCCCCTCCAAGTGACATCAGGCGCCGGGATCCCCCTGCTCCTGCACTCCCCCTCCCTACACAGGACATTTGACGTGCTGAGATTTTTGCTTTGAGGAGATAAAATGTAAAAAAAAAAAAAAAAAAAAAAAAAAACCTAACCGCCTTAAATGTAAATGTTTTTAGCCGTTGTGCAAAAATGAATTGCAACCTGCGGAAGATAAAATAATAAAAGGTTTCTATCAGCATCCCAAACCAGCCTGCTCAATCTGGCAAGAAATAACAGGTTTACAGAAATCACTTTGTACACCGTCTTAAAGCGGTAATTGTTTTTAAATTTTATTTGCACTGTGTAGAGTGTGCGTGCCATGGTGTCACGAAAAAAAAAAAAAAAAAAAAAGAAGGGGAAAAAACACAGGGAGAGAGATCCTGAGAAACAGATTTATAAAAGGTATCTGGCCTCACTGCGGTAGGTAACTGCTGAATTCTCACCTCCAGCAAAACAGTTCGAGCCCCTGCTGCCTTGGGGAGCAGGGACAGGAGAGGGAGCCAAAGCATCCAGCCTGAGGCTGCTTGCTAGAACTGTACCACAGGCTGCCCCTGCCACGGCAGGGTCTTACCAGAGACCCTCTGCCCCCTCAGTCCCTGCTGCTGCAGGCTCCCACACTGGGCAACAACATGCTTCAGTGCTTCCCGCCATGGCTCAGGCTTCCTGGTGGTGGCCGAGCTCTGCACAGAGCTCCCCTTTGATTTCTTAATTGGCCATGGAGAGTCATGGCTGAGCAGTCTGTATGAAGCAGCTCTTTCCTTCTTAAGAGCTGAGCATGCCAAGGCGCCCGTTCGGCCATGCTGGCGTAAGGACCCTGTAACATGGAGTTGGAGCTGGGCCACACACGGCCCAGAGCTCTGCCACAGGGGTGCTGGACCAGCCTGTCCCTATGGGGCTGTAATGAGGCCTGTCAAGGGATTATAGCCACAAAGCAGGAGTGCAATACAGCAGAGTTGCAAGGAATATAGTTATTTCTTTGTTCAGGCTGAGAGAGGATTTGTTCTCTTCCAGGATCTGTGTTATCAGGGTTTGGGACATGCTGAGCTTTGTGTGTTTCTGAAGATGTGCATGACAGCGGCTGGCATTTCAGCAACCTGTGCTTTGCTGAAAACTTCAGCATGTTTGTTCAGCCATTCAGAACAGCGTCTGGGAAACCCAGCTCTGAAGGGCAGCACGCTTCCCTCTGAGCAGCACTGGATCCCAAGCAATGAGCTGAAGAGATAATAAACAGCAGCAATGAAAAATGTGGTTACATTCTCAAAAGAATATTTGATTCTTGACCTGTGCATGAATACAAGAACAAATTCTGTCTAGTCTTTTCCTACATAATTACAAAGCCTGTTGTATGCCTCAAAATCAGTATTGGGGGGCAATTAAATTTCAGTGACTCTCTGAGCTAGGTTAGGGCACTTTACCCGATTATAAATTTCTTTCACTGACGCATATATACGTTATGTGTGTGTGTGTACATATATATGCTTGAAAAATACTCCTTTCTTTTAGCACACGAGGGAGTGATTGGGTGGTGGTGGTGTGCCTGGTCAAGCTGAGGTATGTAACCATGGCCCTAGTCTCATAGCTTTTGGCCACTGAAGAATGTGAATTTTCCCCTCCAAACTAATCACAAGATTATTTCATTGTCTTCTAAAATGCTGTCCTAGCACGTCTTCTTTACCACTGTTGAGCAACATTCCTACAGTCTGTTTCTAGAAATGAAAATTGGGACAGTGCGAAGTCTGTCTTCAGTCTGGGCAAGAGGGCCTGGGAAAGTACGACCTTCCGAATCGAACTCTGCCCTGAAAAAAGCTGTTCATAACGTCACTGAATCACTGCTTATCTGAGAATAATCACTACTCCTCTGAGAATAATAAACCCACTACGTGCCTACCTCTGCTGCGATCTCTCGAAATCAGTTGCTTAACTGATGTTAGATCTGCTTGTTACTACAGAGCCACCCGGCTCTTCCTGAGCTTGCCAAAAGAGCTCATTTCAAGTTAAATGATTGCATAAAGAAACAAATAAACCCAGAGGCGATTTTGACGTTGCCATTATAGGTAGCTTACCTGTCACAGATGACTGGGAGTCTCTGAGGTCTCCTGGAAGCAACCAGTCCTAGAAAGTGTAATATGCAATCACAGGATTAAATGAAAATCAAGCCAAAACCCATTCTTTGAGCCCTTACAAAAAAAGCCATGCTCAGAATTTCAAAGGGCCCTATAGAATCTGTCATCTTAGTATTTATAAATATACATTATTCCTATAGGACTTGAGTACCAGCATTGATGTTAATAAGGCTGTTCCAGTTCTGTAACCCTTTCCTTTCATGCATCTGTGAATATAGGCCTTGGGCCTCCTTCTGTTACAGTGCCAGTCTTCGCTTTGACTTCAATAAAAACAGCATCAGTTCCTAAAGCCTTCACATGAAGGAAGCAGAAAGAGGTTTGCAGGCCTGAATCCCCAGCAATTGTCTTGGCTTACCAAGGGGCTGCTGAGCCTCATGGATTGCCCTGTGGGCACACGGGGCTTTTCTGCATGGATCTGGCAGAAAGACTGGGGATGGAACAAAGGCACTTGAGTCCTGTTCTCTTCTTGCCCACTGCTCTTGCTGTCAATCCCTCACTAAGTTTGTCGTTTATCAATTTAACTATTTTCATGCACCCTTTGTATTTACTGATTCAAATATCTCTACCAGACTGGAACTTTGTGGAGTTTGCAGTTTTGAGAAGACTGTGTTGTTGCCATTTGTCAAGCACCCATTTCTAAACATTGTGGAAAATGTAGAGGAATACATTCCTTACATGTTTTCTTAGGAAGCATGAATTTTCTCAGGCTTAGATATGAATGAATGGCTTAAGTCTGGAAGATTTCCCATTAGAGCTGATCAACAGAGACATTTTCTTGCATCAGAAAGGTTGTAATTTCTATCCAGCTACATTCTCCTGAGCACCATTTCTGACAGCAGAGAGGAATGGTGCTCTCACCATGAAAAGGAGAGTGGGAAAGGTGGTGTAGACCTCTCTTCCAGCCCAGCCCAGACAAGCATTCCCTGCAGCAGCGAGACCACCAGGAGGCAAGTGCCACTGGTCTGTTGCCAGTAGTCTCAGAGCTCAGCTGGGGCTTATGTCGCACCATCCGAGAGCATCTGCTGTCCCTTTCTGTCCGGGAGCACCAGCCACATCACTCAGGGACAGAAGCTGCTGGCTGTGGGCAAAGCGGGAGTCCCCTCTGCCTTTCCGGAGTGCCAGGCCCAGTAACTCGGTAACTCAGTGTCTGACTTGATGCACAGACAATTTGAAAAAGTGTAAATGACTGGACTTTTAGCACTTAACCTTTCCAACAGCAATCTTTCACCATTAAGCCAGGCAAGCAGGTTGTTAAACCTGTCTATCACAGGGTAAGTAACAGTTCACAGTTGAAGTGTTGCCCTACACTCAAATACTAAGGTAATTGCTAAAGCAGTAAATGGCAATATAATCTGGGATGGGATTCATGACTGTTTAGGTGCCAGAGCACTTGAATTATTGCCAATATATAGAGGTTATATATTAGTATCTTGAATAACCTCTTCCCAAATCAGTCACTGAGATTAACTCTGGCAGAACAGTCTTCTTGGATCACTAATAACATTCTCTATGGATCCTCTTTCCTTCATTTTGCCCCCTTGTCTGTAATAAAAGTGTAGAAATAAATTGTCCTTATTGAGTAGAGATGTAAACTTTCCAGGCAGAATAGAAGAAAACAATTTAGAAAAATGGTTTGGAAAGGCATAAGATTTTTTTTGTATGAGGCAGAAATTTTTACCTCTTAACAGAGCTGGCCAAAAACTTTCAGATGTTGTAACTTTCTGCCAGAAAATTTTGATTTGTGAGATGGAAACATTCCATTCAATTTCCTTTAATATTTAATAAAAATGTCAAGATAACTTCAATATTGTACTTAAACTCTACTGAAATCTTTTAACATTAATATTTTTTAATGAGTTTAGCATAAAAGTTAAAAATGCACATTCAGTTGATAACACCAGGACAAAATGTTTCAATGGCATCTGACTGAAATGTCACTTTGTTTTTGTGGAATGCATTTTCAGGATTAACATTCCAAAGAAGAAATAGGATTTTCTTTATATTATAGATAGAAATATCAGCTTGCTTACGGTGAACTGGGAGGAATACCTGAATTATGGTCTTAGCTGTCTTGAGCAAGCCTCTTGACTTAAATTTATCATATATGTAACATGGAGATTAATAATTATCTACAAGAGGTAGTGCAAGAGCCAGTGAGCCAATTACTGCTGTCCCTGTCCAAACACATCTCTCAGTGGAGAATTCTGCTTGAGTGAGGACTGCCAAACTTGCCACTTTGAGTATACAAAGCTTTGATTATAAATGGAAGATATGGGTAAGAAAACAGTGTGTCTCTGCTCAAGGATTTAATGCAGTTAACTAATCCACTTTAAATCAGTTCAGATTAATCTCCTGACTGACCCCATATAGACAAACCCTTAGAGAATGCTGAGGCCCCATTGTGTTGAGCAGGGTAAGAACAGAGCAGTAAATATTTTCCCTACTGTAAAAATTAAGACCTATCTAAAATTGTAAAACAATGTAAACAGCTACTCTTTAGAGGTAAGAGATAAAGACTATTTGGACGTCATTCCAAAAAGTGGATGAACTACTGATTTAATCATCTTATAATGATGATATAGACATAAAATGATGGGATTGTGTAGGGCTGATTGGCTTTTTTTAACAATACAAGTAGATCTGAAAGGTAGCGCTGGGGTTTGTTATTTTCTGTCGGTATGCAAGGCAGTGTGTGCTAATGAGGAAATACCTTCCTATATGAAAACCCAGGTGGAAGTGGCTAATGAACTGATAATGAGGCAAGCAAGCCAGAGGACAAAAGTTAAACTTTCCTAATTGATGAAGAGAGAGAAAGAGGATGCCAAGTGCTGCTGGATGAAGGCGCTGGGGCTGCAGGCTCGCGGAGAAAATTTCTCTCATTAGTGAAATCTCTGTGGCTTCAGGATAGAAGCAGAGCTCTGTCTGTGTGGCAGGCTGGAAACTGCAGCCTGTGCCCAGTGCCAGACAGATAGGAAGTTTCCGGGCAGCCTGGCCAGCATATACTGTGCATTAGTTACAGTGCTGCTCTTCCCTTTGGGATCAAAGCCACATGCAGTTTATTATGACAATAAAAATTTCATCGTTTTAGAATTCAGTTTCAAACCATCCCATTTTTTAAATGAAGCATCAGCATAAAAAGTGAGATAAATCAAAAAAGAAGGCAAAAAAAAAAAAAAAGGTACTCGGAGTGCAGACTTCATCTGCATTCTCAAAAATGTCATTTGAAGTTTGAGGTTCAGAGCCTGCTGCTTCTTGCCTCCATCTGCTGGTGGCATTTTGGAAGCGCAACAGAGACTAAAAACCTGTACTCTGGAACAAAGTTGACTCTGGAAAGCTTCTAAATCTCATTCAGCGTAGCAAAGCCTGCAGATACGTGAAAAGCTAGGCTTAATTTAAAAGTCATTGCTGCATCTGAAAAAGCCCAGTGTAAAACCTGTGTCTGCTAAGTGATACTACCTGCCATAGGAAAATTCATTACTCGGCCTGTGCGATAAACCAAGGAGTAAAGCTTGCTCCTATGAGTTCATCATGTTATGAACAAACGAGCACTGTTCTCCACTCTTTGGAACCCAAATGTCAGAAAAGGGAAACAAAACCCAACTTGGTGCATCGGGCGCTCCAGTATTCCCAGTTTGGCAAAAGCACTAGCTTAATGTCATGGGCTGTGATTCCTAATCCTTTCCTGCCCTTGACCCCCGCTGTCTAGATTCAAACTTGTAACCATTAATGGGGCTGGATCAAAACACTGGCCTTCTGGTGTCACCAATGGTGTTTAGAGGGGATTTAAACTCCCTGCTTTTCAGCGCAGTGAAATGAACACAGCAGTAGATTAATGCAAGGATTTGAGCTCACACAGCATGAGAGCTTTCAAAAATAGTGTTAACAGAGCTACAACTGCCTCTTTCAGGGGAAGCAAAATGAGGGGAACAGAACAAATGAACAAACACAGGGCAAAGCCTTGTCGCTACGGGCAAGGCTCCTAAGCCTGGGGCGCCAGGGAGAGGGCCAGCGAGCGTGCTGAGAAGTGGGGCAGGAGCTCTCCCAGGCCTTCATGTTCTGCAGGAACTGGTTCTCAAGCCAGGGCTGGGGTAAAACTGTGCTTTCGGGCCCCACGGCTGCGTGTAATTCCCTACCCCAGCTGTCTCTCCCGCAGGCAGAAGGGGAGATCACACGCTGCAGGGCTGGCCAGGGAAGAGTTCCTCACCCATCCTTCCTGTTCCCCTGGGGTCAGGCACAAGTTGAGATTTTGGCAAACTGTAGGCAATGGGCGTGAGGCCCATTTCTGAACTTCTTTGTGCGAGAAGGCACAGGGGCATAGGGTGGACAAACAGTCCTTTGCCCATTTCACCCCTTGCTAATTGTCCATAGAGGGGGCGGGGGAGCTGCTCTTTCCCCAGCTGCCCTGCCTGTGCCTGGCTCAGACCCTACAGCCCATGCTGTATCTCCTCTTCAGACTCTGCAGCAGGATGTGCTCGAGCCCACAGTAATGACAGGAAAACATCTAAAGGTTTCCAGCTTTCATTTCAAAGATTCCTACTAACCCACCTGGCCCAGGAACCCTTCCAGTAACAACTCAGTCTGGGGCTGAGCCTACACTGCTGAATCCAGTGGGAGTTTTGCCATCAACTTCAATGAGAATAGGATCACACCTCGGTGCTTTGTTTTGCCAGTGTTCGTTCCTTGCCTCGGGCAGGAACCTGTTTGTTTGTTTGCTGCCTGCGCTCACTTCCAACATCAATAGGACTAGCTAAAAGCATTCAAGCCATCAGATTTGGGGAAGTGCTCCAAAGTTTGTTTGCTTATCTGAACCATCCCAGGCACTCAGATTCACACAACTGGGCTGGAAATAACCTCAAGAGAGATGGTTTTCCCAGGCAGACTCTACAGCTTCCACTCGGGCTGGGCATGTCCTGGGGGGGGAAACAGCACTTGTGCTTCAGGGAAGAGAGGGGAAGTGCAGAGGAGCATGTGAATGGCAAATAGCTTTAAACCAAGAGACTAATTTGCCGCCTTACCAGCAGCCCCATCAAAAACTGACTTGATTTAGTTCACGACTAGGGCAAAGAGTCCAACCTTATATGACTAGCATTCTTCTATCCAGACTGGTTTGTGTAATCCAGATGTGAGCTAAGTACTTGGTACCAGTATGTGGCTGGAGCTGCTCCGAGCCCCTTAGGGAGGCTCCAAGGAGGGGAAAGGGGTGCTGCCTCTCTGGCTGGCACAGCTATTGACCCAAACACCAGCTCAGCATCCCTCTTCTATGTGTTTGCTGGTGTGGTGGGATGCTCCCACAGGAAGGTGTCCTCTAACTCCTGCATTTCTGTCTGCTCCAGCCACAAAAGGCACCAGCGTCACGGCACAGGTCAATTCTGCCCCACTGGAGACCATTCTATCAAGCCTGAAAGCAACTCAGACTTGGTAACTGCTTACAATGACTAGACTTGTTTTTACTGGAGCTATTTCCATGCTGCCTAGGTGCCTGTCTTCTCCCTCCCAGCTCTGCCACTAGCACCCTCCACAGCAGCAGAGAACAGCACTGCTACTCAGCAAAACAGAGCTAAACCAGAGTCACCATCCAGGGTTCTGAGCACTTGCACATTCTCTGTTCTCTGTATAGTTTCTTTGCTAGTGAGGCCTTAATGCTTGCACTTTTAGATTGTCCCCCTCTGTATAGCATTAGGATACGTAATCATCATCACTGAGAGTTTTTAACCTTGTATGAGCAAATGACTGTCATTAAAAAAATTCTAATTCTTTGTGATCAGCTTATCCCAAACACGAGCATTTCTTTCCTCCCAGACTACCCTTCCCAACTTGTAGACTACCCAGCCAAGCCTTCAACAGCTCAGAGAAGAAAGTGCTTCCTCCAGCTGTCTGCTCTGTGCTTGCTCCCTATCCAAATTAAACTTGCTGTGGACAGCGACACATTCCCATTTCACGCTGGTTTGATTAATGTGTCTCAGCTAATTGTGTGAAGGATTCCAGTCCTTTCGGCTGTGAGACCAGGTTATTGTTCAGCCAATCGTGGCTACCATGTGAAAATGGAGGCTGTTTAGTGTTCATGCACCAGAATCAAAGGAGGGGCATCTTGGACTGGGTCACAGAGCAACACCCACTTCTTTGAAAAGATGTTACTATGCTCTACTAAACCTGTAAACCTCTTGCTTAAAGCATGTCTTCTCCCTCCTCCTCTCCCCCCTGCTCTTTTTCCCCCCTTCTGGATAGACAGGCTCCCCCCACCACTCTCTTAGGGTACAAGCGAGAAAGAATGGCTAGATTGTAGAGGGGTAGATTTCACATTCTAGGGTTTTTAATATTTCACTTTTATATTTCTTTTAGAGAATGATCCTGCTGAGAGGCTGAGAATCGGTGCTTATCACTTCCCCCTCACTGACACTTGAATATATTTTCCCAAGAGAAAACATTAAACAAAAAGAGAGAGAAAAAGAGAGAAGGGGGGGAGAGGAGAGTGACTGAGCTAGCTTTTCAAAGCATACTTCTCAACCTACCCACATCAAAATAAGAGACAACTGGCCCTTTGAAGTCCAGGACACAGACTTCTCTACCAACCCATGTGGAAATAAAAGAAGCCAGCTTTATAAATCACACAGATTTCTCACCTTGCCCACATCAAAATCAGGGACAGTGACCTTTAAAACTGAGGTTTAAAGGCCCCCAAACCAATCTCCATAAAAATAAGGGGAGTTCAGACAAACTATGTCTCCAGGTATCTGTCAGCTTTTCCAGTCTAAACCAGGAGAGATCAGTCCTTTGCACTGAGGAGTGGAGACTAACTATATTGTCAGCACTTGCAGCAATGAAATCTTCCATCAGCCTAACACATACCCAGTGCTCAGTGAGGCAACTTTGCCACGCCTGTACCTTTGCTTGTATCCTTTGCCAATCCCAGTGTTGTAGGCCCTACAACAACACTGTTGTTAAGTCGCTCAAGGGATTTAGTAAAACTGGAGCACGGGATTTTTCATAAGGAGAATTACTGGCCCAAAAATTAAGTGGCTGGTGGCTCAGGGAAAAAAAGCTGGCAATCTTCTGAGTTAAATCCTACCTGGGTTATAGTTGGGGAGCTTGGAAAGTCCTGGCCAGGTGTCCTCAGTTGGGACTCCCAATACCTGTGAAAAGAAGAAAGAGAGCGAGAAGAGCAATAATCTCTGTCTGCCAATACCCTGCCTTGGTGTGTAGCTGGAGGAATCAGTCTCAATGGAGAGAAACTGTGGCCTTTACTGTAAATTAGTGCAGGTTCACACCGCCTTGGCTGGTGCTGGATCTACCACTGTGCATGAAGGACACTGACATTTTAGCACTTGATTTTATAGCAAAAAGGGTCCTGCTGAGATTGAATGTTGTTGCTGCTGGGAACATCAGCGCAGGTGTATGCAGCTTCACTGCCAGGTGTCACTCCTGCATATGTTTGCCAGCCCAGGAGTCACACTGTTCAGCCCCTTTTTGTTGTTGAAGATGTCTACCTGTGCCACAGTCACACTAAGGACTTAGAGTAAGCCCACTTGCACAAGCAGCAGCCGATACACTCAGTGTCAGCACAGGCTGAGAGCTGCGATAGAAACCCCTGCCGTTGTGAGGTGAAAAAGGAAGACTGGCAGACAGGTCTACTGGCAGGTGCTAGAAAGTGGTCCAGTGGCTCATCCTGAGGGTCCAAAGCTTCGCAGTGTCTTTGGCCTTTATTATGAATTGTGGGCTTCAGAAGTAGGTCCTCACTGAGCAAAGTTTGGGCCAGGAAAGTTTCCTCCAACCTCATTTTAGTTGCTGAAATGTGTGACATCAACTATATCTGGATTTCTGTGCTGGCTGCAGCTGCGGATGTTTAGTGTTACTATTACACTTGCCACATCCAAAGTGCCCTGTGCCTATTGATATGGATGAGTTGTGCTAAAGAGGTAAAGCCACATATTTGAGAAGAGTTCACAGCATGTGATATGGTATTATAATCCAAGCATTCAAAGCTTATCGTCTACACAACCCCCAAAATTATCAGATTTCCTTAGAAAAGGTGAACTTTTAATGTAAAAGATATCAGGGGATTTTATTCACTTTCTCTTCTCCAGTGTTAGATTTGTCTCACATTAGTTACACTTCAACAATTCCTTTTCCTTAAAATGAAAGCTGAGATCTATGATATGGGGAATTTGGCCTCAGAAACTTGTGATAAGATTGCAAGAGAACAGGCATCAGTAAATAAATACATTAAAGAAGGAAAAAACATAAAGCCTGGTTGCTGCAGTTGTTACGCATCTGGTAGCTGATTGCTTTTCTCACTCCCAGTTGGGAAACAGCTGTGGGGACAATTACAGCTACCTGGAGAAGACAGTCACAAGCAGGAACTGCATCTGTGGGGAAAACAAGCTAGGGTGGCTTATGTGGCCCATGTTTCCAAACTGCTGATGGACTTTTTGCTACAGCAAAGACCAAGGGGTAGGACCCTAGTCTCTGCTCACCTGTAAAATTAGTCTTGGAAATTTTAAAGCTCCCCAAAGAGAAGGTGTCTTGCAGTGTTCAGCTGTATGAGGATGTTGGGAGGTGACTTGCACTCAGGGTAATTTGCCAGCTCTGGATGAGGATGCATGCTGGACCTGTATGTGTATCATGTAAGTAGGGCAGGTCTGCCCAAAGCAAGCTCTGTGTGCACAGGAGAGTTGGTATCCACATCCAGAATTTGCTTGCTTTTGCTGTCTTCTTAGTTTTCCAGGAAGCCACAGCAAAATGCCAAAAATATTCTGCACTAATCCATATGTGTGTGTTCTGAAGTGCCATGCCTGTATTCGTGTGTCCTCATTCTTCAAATGAACCATCAGGCATCAGTCCTAAAGGCATTAGGTGGGGCTGGGGAAGTTCGGTACATAGTAAAATCATACCCTCCAGAGACAGCTCAGCACTCTGACTCTCCTTGGTGAAGAGTTGAAGAAAACAGTTATTTGGGCATGTTTGCACTTTGCTACATAAGGTTTTCAGCAAATGCTTAAATTTTGCTGAGTTGAGGTGTGAAAGCATTCAGAACACCAATCATTGAATGCCATATGAATGTGTATTTATATTTATCTTTTCTGTGTCTTTTCTTTACAGAAGTTGCTATTCCAAACCATAAATTTGGATCTGCTTTTGAATTTCCAAGGTAATGGGGCAGGTGACTTTTTTTTTCCTTCTTTCTTTTTTTTTTCTTCCCCTCCCCCAAGACCTTTAATGAAATTGCTTGCCAAATCAGACAATGAGTTAGAACAATCCCCATAGTATATATTTTTAATTGAAATTAATTATATCTGTTGCGTATCTGCCCTAGATCTAGCTGTTAACACTCTGGTCCATGCCATCAGACAAAGCAAGCCAGCTTCTCTGTACTTGCTACTCTGCCGTGCTTCCCCAAGCAGGCACTTTTTACTATAACGAAAGGTCTTGGTGCAGATCAGTTCAGTCTCCACTTTGGAAAAGGCACAGTTTCAGCAAGTGCTTTAAGTTGGTATAAATCCTTGTCCTGTCCCTCTAACTGCCTCCTTCTCCTGTGATGAACCAGCTGAAGGAAGCAGCCTAGCTGATTTTGCTTAGTTTTGTTGGAAAGTTATGTTTTATGTACAGAAAAGCCTTGTAGTCATTCATTTGGCACTTGTCACGTGGTCAGCTCAGCTAGAGAAGCATGCTGGTGGCATTCTACAGCCTAATCCAGCCCACGTGAAGTCCTTCTCAGCACAGTGTTAATCAATAAGATGGAATTTTTGAATGGGAAACCTATGCCTGATCTCTTGGAATTTGGATGATAGATCTTAATGCTTACTCTCCATGCCATGAGAGAACTGGAGACACTGCAGTTTGTGTTCACTCAGGCCATACTTCCATAACCAGTACTGCCGGCCTAATTACCTCCTTCCTCTTCACCCCCTTCCCATTTGGTCCTGCTCCTGTGTCATCCCTTCATGAGTACCGGTCATTAGTGCTACTGTTTGTGCAGCCAGATGATGAACTGGGTAAATAAACTGTTCTTGTTTAGAGTAACCCAGAGAGAAAACCAAGTTACAGGTTCCCCAGTTCACGTAGCCCCACGTGTGAGGGGTAACACGGGAGCTGGAATAAGCAGCCAGGGATAGAGATAGGGGATGGAGACTGCTTAGGGTGACACTTCCCTCTAGAAGAAATGTTGGTGAAATAAGTCAGTCCATCCTGATGATTCAACAGGACAAACACGTTTCACAGAATGGGGATTTTCCAGCTATATAGCTATGGGGTGTTTGAACCAACAGTCCTCTGTGGAGATAAGCTTGCTGGGCGATACAGACTCATGCACACAAATGCAGATGGTCTCTAAACCAGAGCAGGGTGCCTCTATTATTAGTACATGAAAGGAACTGACTATTAGAAAACAGTAGGAATCCCCGTTCTGAACCTTACACTTGGCAAAATATCTCAAGTTAGGCATCGAAAGCCTCTAAGGAGCTTTGAAATCTTGGCCTAACACAGAGCCTCATTCCAGGCTGTATAATAACATAAAACCCTCTGTGAAAGGCACTAATTATTTCATGGCTCTTAAAGCTTCCTCATGATTTTTAAATAAGTTTTTTTTTGCCTTCTGTAGCACAAATCCTATTAATCACGGTATTAGTTATAATACCAGAGAAATGAAGATAGGGCTATAACCCTCCAACTGCAAAACCACAGGAAATGTATCCAGAGATTTCAGAGCTGTAAGTGGAAGGATATCCTTCATTCACACTCTGGGAAACTGGGCCCTGCCCTGGCTTTGAACCCTGTTAATTGGCCAAGTATGGATTATTTTTTTTTCCACAATAATTCTTTTTTTTTTTTTTCTTCACTCTCTATGAAAGAGAAATTCAGCATTTATTTAAATGGGCTGAACTCAAGTCTAAGAACTGGACCCCCTTGTCTGTCTTTTTATCACATTTTAGCTAAAAGCAGAGAGGAAAACCCTACCAGGCTGGAGTGTTTCTGGATGAAGGGATTAGGAGGGAAAATTCTGATTTAGAGAGACTTGAGGCTATAAAGTTCTTCCTCACCACTTCCCAAATTTCAGTTTTCTGCACTTTACCCTTTGAAAACACACGTCTGGGGAAGCACTCTATGCAGAAGAGTAAATCCCTGGGAGGAGGTGTTAAAGGCAGACACCTACAGCAAAACCCAATAGGAATCTATAGGCTGATCTTCCTGAAGAATCAGTAAGAGGGTGAGCAGCGAGCAGTAAGGCACAGAATCTGCTAGTGCTGGTAACTGCCTCGGTTCTACCAAGCTGCACGAAGGATGTGGCTCTGTTTCAGTTTCCCCAGCAGAAAAAATGGCTTAAGAGGCTCCCGAGTACGTCTGCTCTCACTCACTGCTGCCTTTATAAAGTAATCTCACACTTTCCATTATGCCAAAGCAGTCTCTAGGGCTGCACCATAAACTGGATGATACAAAATGTTCCAAGTTAAAATGAAGAAGGATCTCTGAAAAACCTCAGGGTCTTGCCATTTTCAAGGCAGTTTAAGAGCGGTATTAGAGCTCCTTTGTGAGAATACGGTGTGCTGTATCCTACAGTAAGTAAAGGATTTAACAAGAAGGAATAGAATTTGCAGTACCTGCACACCTTTTATGCCTTCTTCAATTTGATGTCACTTTAATTGGCTTTAAATTTTTGATGAGATGACAAACATCAAAGGAAAGTCATTTGATTTACTCCTGTCTCTGGAAGAAAGTTGCCAAATGTAAAATGGGTTACAAAGTCTCCTATGAACTTGGCAGATTGGACCAAATTATTTCTGCTATTCATAGGACCTAGGCTTAGGACTTCAAAATGAAGTAAAGGGCTGGGGCAACATATTCTTTTTTTCTCCCATTTAATGGTATATTTTACTCACCTCCCAGATCTTTGCCAGCTGTTCACGAGTACCAGAAGTTCCTGCAAATATTGGTTGGCCCTGGATCATTTCAACAAATATACAGCCTGCACTCCTGCAAGAAACCCAAGGTATTAACTCATGGCATATATATGATTGTTGAGATGGGCAGGGGGGAAAGGAAGAGAGGTAATTGTTGGAATAGAGATTTAGAAATTCTGATTTGTAAATGCAGAAATCCTGACAGAAGCTGCAAAACCTGTATACTTTGCAACTTGAGTCTGAAAAGTACCAGTCTGTTGTGTAGGTATTGTATATACCCACCTCATGTCATCTAGTGAGAGTGTGTGCAGGATGCAGGGTGTTTGTAGATGTGTGAATAAACACATGTTTTGATATACCTCTATAGTGCAGTGGTAGGCAGGATATAGCATTATGAAAAAAATTCCTACTGATTGTGGAAAGTCAGGAAGGTTTCCTTTGGGAAGGGACATCTTATACATCCCTGGTCTTGCAGCGCTGTTCTAAGCACTTGCAACTGGCACTTGTAGGAAGTTGTATGTGGTATCATTAGCCTCTTCCAAGTTCTAGAGATTGAAACACTTGAATTAAAAAGGTGACAAGTCAAATAGGGTGGGAGCAGGCTAGAGATTCATGACATTGATATCCCTCCAGGATTTTAGAAAAAAATAAAGCAGTCAAGGTTCCACATAAGTCTGTTCACATCTCCTTTTTCTCATCAGTACTATCCCTGCCCTTCACCAGCAATATAAGACAGGTGATATCCTTGGAAAAGAAACCTGCTAAGCACCCGTCTTTTTTTCTGGCACCAAACAATTTGTTTCAGGTCTCTTTCAATTTATGCTGTTACAAACCCATCCAAAAAAAGATGGTTGTTGCAGAAACCTGTGGAATACTAGGTTGTTTTCCAGGAGAAAAAGATGCAAAATTGGAGTGATAACAGTAGGAAAGACAAACAGGGAACTACTACGCAGCAGTTGAAGGATACATTAGATGCAGAAAGAACACAGAGGCACTAACCACTGGAGCAATTTTTCGTTCAAAAGAAATTAGTTCTTCACTGGAAGACTGAAGGCAAGATTTCATAGCATAAAGAACTCAGTGACAATAGCAAGTTAAAGTATTCTTATTTTTATGCCATTCCCTGCTCTGCATTTGTGCCAAAGCAAACCAGCCAGCTTAAAAAAAAACAAACACAAAACAAACAAACTCTAAAAAATGCTTAATTTTACTAAGGTGGATTAGTCCTGGCAATAACGATGAAATAGTTGTGGTCAGAGTAGATTTACCTATTTGCAATTATTTACATCTCTTATTGTGTGGTATAAAATTCTGCTCATTTACTTTTTAATCTTTTTTTCTCCAATTTTTTTTCTATGTTTCCTGTCTTTTCAGTATGCTCCATCCCAACTTTTCAGGCTTCAGTCTCAATCTTCTTTGGTTATAGCAAATTTGAGTCCTTTAAGCCCAGATGTTGAAAACCCAGTTTTGTCTAACAGACTCTGAAAGTATTATTTTCGTTTGCTGAGCTACAACTAGTAATCGCTTCTGGTCATCTGTACTGCTGTGTTACCCCTTGCACCTTGTTTTTGCAATATTGTAGATGCTTTTCCCACCTGGCTGTGGTCAGTTGTAAGCCTGACATGCAACTCATCTGCGGTATTCATTTTGGTCATCCTTGCACATCAGGTGATGCCAAGCCTGTTTGCAGATCCATATCTAATGCTGTTTTCGCAAACATCTGTGCTGCACTTTCCCTTAGCTTCCTGTACCCTAACCTTGTGGTCTTGTGGACTTAGCTCTTTACTTGTTTAATATGTTCTTACAGGGTCCAGGCGTCATGAAACCTAAACCACAGCTTTTGCAACTTAGATTTTTTTTGTGTTTCATAGCACTACCACATCACGAGATATTGTTCTGGAGCCCACAGATTGATTCTACTGAGACCAGTGTCATACCAACCCTCTGTTTTCACAGCCGATGCACATGCCCAAATGGCTCACCCTATTTTGCAACCACAGGGGCTGCTGTAATCCACTGATCCCATTGCACAAGTTTAACTGTATATGGTCAAAGTGATTTGGGTCCTCTTGATTTGTAAGAAGAGGAGAATCAGCAATATGTGGTTTTGGAGCAAATGATCCTGATGTTCACCTATAGTTTGGGTTCTGATATCTCAGCTAGAAATGGCAACAGCAGAAACTTTGTATGAATTCACTACAGCCCCTAAATGAGACAGATGCAACTAGACCTTCTATAGAGATTCCTTCTAATAAACAGTGCTGGCTGTACTGTTTCCTAAATCGAATTTAAGAGACTGAGGATTTGGGGACTGGAGGTACATAGCAGTTTCTAAGGAAAAGGGGCTAGTAACAGTGAAAGTGCCCTATAAATGTGGTCCTTGTGACCTAACTGCTCTGCTGCAGAGGGCTAAGGCAACAGATCTCATGGCAGACAGAAAACCAGATCTGCTATGGTTTCTGTTACTGCTGAGAAGGTTTGAAAATCCAGACAGAGCAATAAATGGAAGTAAGAACGAGAAAGCTGGTTTTTTTCCTAGATTCAGCTAGCATTTGCTAAGAATTACTCATGAGCAAAGAGTTCAAGAATTCAAATCTAATAAAACGGTCTTTTCACTAGTGGACAAGCTGACAGTTTGAGGAGAGGAGCAATTGTGGGTTGTTGTTACAAATGCACCTTCTGGGAGAGCACTCTATTGTATTCCTGGTTTATTCCCATTATCTGTGGAAGCCTTTAAACCTCAGTGTCTCTAATAAAGACAAAACTATCAGAGCAACCACAACTGCTGGAAAGAAAGGGCTTTTTGTTTCCTGTAGGGAGACTCAGCTGACCAGCTGCCTTTAATGCCTGCTTGATACTGTATTGATTCATCAGTGGCAATTACGACTGTTTGTATCTCTGTGTGTTTCCAGATGAAATGCACTTTTCTTGGCAAAAAAAAAAAGGCCAGAAGTAACTAGAACAACTGATGTATGGGCACTCCCCTCTTCTTCCTACTTATTTTTGTCTACCTGTTAAAGTAGGACTTTAGAAATTTTTAAAAGTAAATATTTTTGAATCATCCTCGTTAAGAGGAGGATCCTAATAATGCTGTCAGAGTAGTAACTGTAAATCCTGTATCTCAGAAGGAAAGCTGAGGCCTCTACTGAAAGGCTGATACGATAACTAGCACTAGTTTCCAAAGATCTAAACTTGGTGTTGTTTTGTTTTTCCTCTTTTTCCTTCTTCTTCCTTTCTACCCCTCTGGTATTTATTTCCAAGATCCCCTTGCCCCTTCAAGTGTACAAGTTTCTCAGAGGGACTGAGTCCCATGTAGCTGCCTCAGGAGAGTCATGGTGGAGGAAGGGGTATTTCAGGCCTAACCGTGACGTTTCAGCATGTGCCGGATACGCACGTGAAGCGAGGCAGCGACTGCTAAAGTAATAGGAGAGGTGTAACTGGTTATAGGGCTGTTTAGTTTCAGTGAGCGTAAACAGAGCTGATTCAGACAGCAAGGTTGCCTCTGATCCCTGGGGCAGGTCTGAACACTGCACTCGCTCCTCAGCCTGCAGTGCTGCATCACACAGCAGAGAGATGACTTCATCAGGATTAAGATCTAAGATAACTCTGTGGTATCTCAGAGTTCCCTCCCCACAGTTTTTCTGGCATTGGGAGATTGCAATTTTATATTTAACCAGAAATATATCCTTTCTCTTGTTCCTCACCAAGTGTGGGCTGTAAAATGAAGCCCTTAGCTTACATCTCCCAATTTGGCATGGTGGGGCAATGCAAACCAGGCTGGGGAGAAGGCTGTAGTGGGCCTGGCAGGTCCACATTAAGTGACTGCACCAGAACTCCTAAATCTACTCGGAAAGATTCCTGTGATTTTATTTTATTTTATTTTTTAATTGAAGATTATACAAGGAAATCCTGACTGAAAAGAAGACATGACTTAGGCACTCATGATGTTAGCAGCTACTAGTGCGGCACGTGCATAAAGCACTTGGTGTTTTTAAAAAAAAAAAAAAAAAGTCTTTCTGATATGCAGTGTAATCTCCCTGAAACGTTAGTCTCCCTGAAATCCCTTAATTGAATCTTTTAAAGTCCTGAAGAGATAGCGAGGGAAAAAGAGACAGAAAAAAGATACAGAGAGATTAAAGCAGCTTTTCTAGTTAGTCCAAGAGCAAGTGAGTCTCCTTCTATATCTCTTTCTTCATCTATTCAAGACCTCATTCACTTCCCATGTGCCTCCCACTGACAGTATTGCTGCTCAAGCACGCTATGCATGAATTGCCATAATGTTTTATTTTGTTATAATTGGTTTCTTTAAACCAAGGCTTTAACACCCACTGTCTCATGCCATTACCAAGGGCATTCTGACCTGCCTTCATGTAAATTGCAGCATCCAAAAGACATAGGGTTTTTTTTTCCTTTCTTCCCAACAGACAAGTAACATCTGTGTGAATTCACATTATTTCCTAATAGACAAAAATTGAACTTAAATGCAGTGTACATCAAGATAATAAATGACTCTTGTTAGAGGAAGTTACTGAATAGAGCTCACCGAAGTACTCTCTATTCTCTCAGCGTGACATCTTTCTCTAGGGCAAACACTTTGAATGTTGTTATTATAAGGAGGCATTATAACAAAGGTGCCTATAGTGTGGATGTAGTTCAGTGGGACTGAGCTTACTGTGCTGTTAGAGCTGGTCAGAGAGCTGGATGGGATCTTTGTGTACTACTCCTATGTTGCTATTCATTACACTAGAGCAGAGTTATGTAGCAGGGATGTTGGTTTTGCAGAGGCAGAAATGCCAGGCTTTCTGTGCGTAGCCGGGGCTTTGGACAGGGGTCAACTTTCAGGAAAAAAAATCCACAGGCTCATACCAGTATCTGCCTAATACAAACCCTCCAATCTGCTGGGCAGGCATCTTCTTCAAACTCAGCAGACGTTCCTGAGAGACTGTCTGGAGGGGAGAGGTGACGGGTAACGGGGGAGAGAAGACAGGACTATTTAAACTGACTTAGCAGCTGGAAGCCATTAGAATTCAGCAAGGTTTTCCTCCTTGGAGAAATCTTTCTGCAATTAAATTAGCAGCAGGTCTAGGGAAGTGAACAAAGTAAAAACTCCTGTTTCCCTCAACTGCCCTCCAGACTTATGCCATCGGAGCCTCTGATAAGCCGCAGATCGCTGGAGGGGGATACAGCCTGAGAAGACCTGGAGCTTTGCTGTTTGTAAGCTTACCCAACCCTCTTCCTGCACATTCTTCAGCCTGCTATGATCCCACCCCTTCCCAGCCTTTCACCCTGCAGAAGTGTTTCTGTTAAGAAAAGTCCTGGTGTGACAGGCACAGACAGAAAATTAACTGGTCTGAAGAAACAGTGAAGCAGCAATACTATCTACATGTGCAAAATTGCCCAGAATAAGGGTGGTCTCCTACAGCTTCATGAGCTGCTGGTTGTCCATGAGTAAGTCTGGACTATGTTGCTGCAAGGGGGCTCAGGCTGGTGTAGAAGTCAGCCAGAAAGTGGATGAACCCTAGGGCCCAGCTACGCACCCTGGCCAGCCCAAAAAGTCCACTGGGACCCCTGTGAAGCCCTCATCTCCTCTTTCTGCCTGCTCTCAGAGAGCCCTCTGCCTTCAGGTCTTCCAACATGCAGCTTGTTTCTTGCGATTCCTAGCCATGTTAGGATTTTTGGGTAGAGCTCATAAGGTAAGATTTAACAGAACATAGCCCTTCTATATGAAATGCAGAGTGCATGAGACGTGTTCTTTGAGAAGAAGGACAAAGTATCACAGAAATAATCAAGGTCTCAAACACCTTTCTATCTCCAGCCCCCATCAGAAACCCTTTAATGCCACCTTTTGTTACGAAGGCTGGAGTCATTGTTGGTGCAGTTATGACTGGATCCATTGTTTCTTCATAAAGTCATTGCTGTAGAGAGCTACCACTGACTCAGCTGACCACATAGATAAAAAACAAGAAGTGCATTAAGCAAAGGTGTTCTATTGCAAGATCTGAAAATGTTTCATAAATGTTACCAAAGGAGATGTACATATCTCATAAATATTATCAGATGAGGTTTATATAAATCCATAGCTGAGATGTAGTGACATCATTCCCAAAAACTTCTATGAACCCAGCAGTACAAAACTCTACTGCTCACACATTTGTTGCTTACAGGTGTTAATTCCTCTACAACTGCATCTGCTGTAATTTGGTTGACTTAATTTAATTCAGATAAAGGTGATTTTTTTTCCCAAGGGACCCCAGATGACTTGAAATTGGTCAATACCAGATATCTAGATCAGAAGAATAATCTGTAGCTCCAAGCAACACATCAGGAGGACGGTACCAGAGTGCCACCACTTCAGAGGAGTATGTCTGTCTGGGGATGGACTTGGCACAAGCAAGGCCTGCAAAAAAACCCAAAAAAACACAAGACTGCTGTGTTAGCACAGCCCTTCTACCTGTACAATGCATAGATAATAATAATTGGAATCAAGACATTATTTTCTCTTGTATCTTTAAACACAAACAATCCCAATGCAGTTTACAAGCAATTGACAAAGAAAGTCTGGAACACACCTCTGGGGCAGATGAGATCAAGCAATATGCTGTGTTTTACAGGGCTTTACCATTAGTGACTGAAGCAGCCATCCCAAAGCAATGCCAAGAAAGCCTTTTGGTTTAGCACATTGCTGTGGACTCTACATGTTACATTATGTTCTGAAAAGAGAGGGATTGCTTCTCAATTCTCTTAAACCAGTTTTATGTGGCAGTAATTGCTTTGATTTAAACAAGGTTACTCCCTGCACCTATCAGTATAAAGGCAAGAAAGGCTGTACTGACCACAGAAATAGTTTCCTGAAGTTCAGTTAGAGGTTTTGCTTTTATGCCTTAATTGGAAGTGGATACAGATCTATATGCACACTAAAGGTTTGGTCTGAGCAGATGTATTAGCAGTATCCAAACTGTGACTCACCAAAGTCAGCTAATTTGAGCTCACCAAGGCAACTGATGAGCAAGTTCTGGGGTTTCAGATCACGGTGAAGAATGTGTTGTTGGTGGATGTAAGCCAGGCCGCGCAAAAGCTGGAACATGAAGAGCTAGAAAAAGCCAGCAAAAAACTGAAATGATTTTGTGTGACTTTGCATTGACACATTAATCTCTGACCTTCAGGAGAACTCCTGGAACAAAGCAGAGACAAAGCAAGTAAGAAACCAGTAAGAATCGAAAAAATGAGTAGAGCTGGTTGAGGAAAACTGCAATGGGTATGACTGCCCTGCAGCTTTCTGAAGTTTTCACGGTGGCATATTTGGTCATGGGGGCAGCTACAGTACAGTCCTTAAGTGCACATTTTGGAAATTTAACTTTTCTTTAGAAATGGACTATTGATTGCAGGAACAAGCCGAAACACAGACCCACCTTTCGGAACAGCAGATATTCTGATTTCAGTGTTCAAGACAAAGACCTACAGTCAAGCAAAATGAAGGTTTAAGAAACTGGAAGTTTTGCCCATTTCAGCCAGCTGAGACCAGCAGAGGGAGTTGTGCAGCCGCTGTACACACCACCTCTTCCCAGCATGAGCTGGACCAGTGAACTGACTGACTTGACAATATGTGGAGTGTTACTTTCAAGCTGGGAGAAAACACAAGGACCTATTTTGAACAGATATAGCAAATAAGATATGATGAATGAAGCAAGCAAGCAGGAAAGCAAGCGAGAAAGGAATATCCAACATCCACCACCATGGCCTGGGGTAAAATAAATTGGGCTGAAACAAGGTACGAAATTGGACAATGGGTAGACACAACATAACGAAAGTAATTAGACTTCACCAGAGAAAAGATATTTTCCGCCAGAAGCTTAAGCTGAAGAGGAGGAAAAACAGTGACACCCATAGGTCATTTTTCTACCAGAAAAGTGTCCCTGTAACATTCTGCATACTTGCACCACATTCAATAGGAATCACTCAGAGAAAAAACAAACAACATTTTCCAGCAAAAATGAAGCAAGCTAGATGACCCTCTTAAAGGAGCTGTAAATCATTTTGCAGTTCAGTTCCTGCTGACAATGAGGATTTCAGACAGGAAAGCCAAGCAGCTGGCCAGTGTTTAGTCACAGAAATTGCCAGTGAGTACGTTACAGCCATGTACTCCATGTGCTTTATAAGCCCGCCTGGTAGCAGAGCCCTTGAGATCTGTGCCAAAACTACAACATTTGCATCTTGGACATATCTGAGCTTTAAGGATGTTTAAAATCTGGGCCCCCAAGAAACTTCATTGGTGTTGCTTAACAACTATCTGTAAAAAGATGTGAACAAGGTGGCAACATTTGAAGATGACAGAAGTATTTAGATTAGCCGTGATAGGAAGTGACAGTGAGGAACTTCAGAGAGATCTGACAAAGTCAGATGAATAGGCCGTTTGGTAAGATACAAAGTTATTGTTGACAGCTGTAAGATAAATTAACTGAAGCTGCACAGGGAAAGGACCCAGGCGTTCACTGAGGACATCTGCACTGAAACCTTAAGTCTGCGTGCAGCAATAATCCTGAAAGTTAATTAAATGTGAAGATGCATACAAAGGAGAGTAGGAGACTATTATAACATCAGTCTGTCAAGTAAGGGTACATCTTCAGCACTGCTCAGGTCCAGTAAATCCCAAAAAGCTGCAGTTGAAGCAAAAGGGATTTAAATGACTGTAAATATGAAGCTAGCTCCAGATGAGGAGAGAGTGAGATTTGAGTTTTTAATTAGAGAGATGAATAATGTATACTAATGATAAGAGGATACAAATTTATTTGCTTGCCACAAGATGTCATCGTTCACAAAAGCTGAATGTCCTCTTGCAGGCTCAGAAAATGGGAAGAGGGAATAACTGAAAAAAGACTTAGCAGACTGAGAAGGAAGTTGTTACGTCTTTACCAAAGGCAGCTTTTCTCTTTAGTGTTTTTTTTATATGGAACAAATAAATATTAGTAAGCAATTTACAGTTACCATACATAGAGGAAAATAACCCTTCCTCATGCTTTAATGGATATGAGGCTTCTAAGGAACTCACCATAACATTGCAGGAATGAAGTCCTCCAGGATGCTGGCCCATGTACTGTGCTAGATCTGTGTGCTAAACAAAAGAGGAGAACTTGAGGCAAGGCTACTAGTGTAAAATGCTCCTACCAACTCCTTTTCTGTAAATGGAAAAAATATTCAACCACTACAAAGATGTCTCTTTCACCTTGGTGAACATCTGATCTGATGCAGTGCACAAGGATGTGCTTAAGTGCTGGGTCAAAACAGGGACCTGGCTGACCTGTTACCTCACTCTAGCAGTTTATGACCTGACGTTGATAGTTAACAGATTTCATATTTATGCCAGAATTAATCATAAATCTGCAGTAAGAAGACACAGCCCCTGTATTTTCCTTATAATTTGGTTGATAGCTATCAGCAAAAGCAACAGAAGCAGCAAGACTCACGCTGAGAACTTTTTTATTGGCATTCTGCCCTCCTCATGAGAGCAACCCATAGCTTGGTTATGGTGAGACACTGGGGTCAGTGCCAAATCTGACCCCAACTGGGATGTGAGCTTGTATCATTATTTCCTATCCTTGCTGTGGCTCAAGAACAGTACTTTTATTGTGTTGTCAAGGCAGAAATGAAGGTAAATAGTGTCTGCCAATCTAGTGGAGAAAAGATGTGGAATCATTTTTGCATCCAGCTGTTGCATATACAGAAAAAAAGAGTAAGGATAGAAAGCAGGAAATCAAGAAGGAAAATCAATCATTGCACTAAAGGATTACAACTTGTTTCCTTAGAGATGTCTCATAATGAAGTAAATTCATTATGCAGCCACTTCCTAGTACTTCCCAGTACCAACTCTACAGGAAGTTAGAAAAGATCAACTCACCATGTACTCGAAAACAAATGTTAGTGTCTCCTTGGTCTGGATAATGTCATGAAGCAGTACAATGTTGGCATGTTTCAAACGCTTGAGAAGAGAAGCTGAGGAAACACAAAAGGAAGATCAACTTTGCTGCTGCTGCTGGACATAGAAGGAGACAGTACACACAGCAAGGCAGCGAAAATAAAAACTGGGCAGAAATAGTCCAAACTTGGCAGTTCTGTAAGTAGCAGCAGCTACTGAGTTTGGAGGAGGGTGGAACAGCTACTTAGAGAAGCAAGCATCAGTGCTCTGGGCTTGGCAGGAACCCGTCCATCTCTCAGAGGTGGGATCTTGCCTCTGTCAGAAATAGCAGTTCACAGTTCCCAGCTGTCAGCTTCTCAGCTGAGGAGAAACAATTTCTTCAAGGCAAATGCCGAGAGGCAAAAGCTCCCAGAGCCGGAATGCAGCAGCCACTGGCCTGTCACTGAGCTTTCCATCCTTCTCCCACCCGCTTCTCGGCACGTGCCCTCAGCAAGGCCCTGAGGAGACTTGTGAGGAAAGGTGAGTTTCTATCAGCTCCTAGCTTCACGATATCAGGGTGTGAAAAAGAAATCCCTGTTGATGCAAAGCTGAATTCTGAATTTAGCTCTGTGCTTTTGGCTTGGATAAAGTATATTGGTTACTTTCTCTGATTTAAAACTCAAAGAGCAAAGATGATGAAGTTACCGAGTGAACAGTAACTTGTTTGTATTTATACAACTTCAGCACATTTTTTCTTTCAATCTAGCCATCTAAAAGCATCGTTGCAACTGTGTGGCTTCACAAAGCCTCAGCACACCTAAGGTGTGATGATGGAGAGGGTAGCACATGGAAGAGTCTCTGCCTCCATATAGACCACAGAGCACTGACTGAACCTAAGACAAAAGCTACAGCCTCCTGAGCCTTTCAGCCTTGGGTTATGTTTCTCATGATGGAGCAGGCTCCACCAACACATTCATGGAGGCAGCTTCTCAGCAAGTGTCTCAAAAATAATCTTTATGGGGAAGAGCATCCAAAGCTTCATCATTTGCTACCATAGGTTTAAGACAATAGTTGCCATAGCTCCATACAGAGAAGGGACACAGGGAAGTGGTGGAGCTGGGATTACTCTGCTTGTACATCTCTGGCACTACTGAAAAATCCAAGCCAGCTGTTATACCAAACTGTGCACAGATTGAAGCCCCAAAGCTCAACAAATACAGGGGTCCTGTATTTGTCCTGACTTCAGATTTTAATTCAGCTTCTGACATAGCAGAATAACCTCAGAGCTGCTCCAGACTTACCTCTCCCTGCTGATTAAAACCAAATTAGGTTACTGTCAGACCACACAGTGCTGCAAATTTCATTCAGATACCATACAATCTTGTTTCTGCTGAATTAGCCGAAGCACACAATACAGAGCCTGCACTGGCCGTGGGAGGCCAAATGAGTTTTGGTCCTGGATAAAAGCTGCTTTTTGTTTTTCAAACAATCTGCAAAAGATATTTGAAGAGTTTCATGCTGGCAAAGCAAATTTATACTGGATTAGCACTTCGCCTTTTGTGACCATAACAATTTCACCTGGTTCTAAAAGCCCTACAGCCAGATATACCGTATTACATAGCTATGGCCTAAGCATATGTCAATACTGAGACTGCTGAGCAGTAAGGGATGCCTGATTCAGCATAAAGTCCCTGGAGGTATTTAAGAAACGTATAGACATGGCTCTTCAGGGCATGCTCTAGTGCCCAAGGTTATTGGTTTATGGCGAGGTGTTGAGTGTGGGGTTTAGTTGGTGGGCGCGGTGTTTTTTGTGGGCGTTTGGTGTGGTGTGTTTGTGTGGCGGTTAGTTTTTTTTTTTGTTTGTTTGGTTTGGTTTGGTTTTGGTTTTTTTTTCTGGATGGACTCGATGATCTGAGAGGTCCCTTCCAACCACTAAGATTCTGTGATTCTGTGATAACTACTGGAAACAGCACAACTTATAAATCAGTTCTTGCACAGAGCTTGGTGCTGCAGCAGCTAAACTGCCTCTAGTACAGATGCCAGCCCATTTAGCTACCAGCAGTATGTTTCCAGTGCCCGGCAGCGTGAACTTTAAACGTGCTCCACATTGCACCTAATGGCCTATGAACCCAGTGAAGATACTCTGGCTAGATCCCCATCTGCTATGGAAAGGGGCTACTAACCTGGCTCTGTGATACCTCAAAAATCCAGCATGACCAGAGCTGTTGCTCCAGAGGAGCAGTACAGAGGGTCCACAGTAATAACAGAGAATTCAGCCCCTGTGCCTGAATCAGGCCTCTGGGAACTGCTCCTCACTTGGTTGCTTCTACAACCCCCTGCTGGGGTGTCAGGTGCTACAGCCAGAATTGAGCTTTAAACGCATTTCGTCTCTGTGGGGCTTCCTGGAGTGAAGTGCCTCTTTGTCAGGGGAGTTCCATTCCTCCAGGGTAGCAGAGAATGCACCACGTTAATAAATCTCGTGCTTTGTTTGCGCTACTGACTTACATTGTAAATTTGAGGTGTCAGATGCTGCAAAGCTCAGCAGTACACAAAAGATCTATTTAAAGTAGACCCTTCATAGGATCACTCTTGTTTTCTCCCATAATGAATGAAGTTAAGGCTCTCAGCCTGTCCAGTAGAGCATGTTAAAGGGGTGATGATCTTTAGAGCATCATTAGTTCTACGTAGATAAAGCTTTTAAGGCTTCTTTTACTGGTGGGCTACAAATGTAAACGCAGAGCAAAAGCAACACAGCAAATGAGTGTATAGGAAACTAACACAAGCCATCCTGTAAATAGGTATATTACGGCATCTCTCTGCTTTCACCCAGAATTGGACTAAGGACTTTGTAAACTTTCTTATCTTAATTACACTGTTATAAACCTGGAATGGATCCACTGACCTCTCTTGTTATTCTGGGTTAACTGGTATGAGAGTGCCTCTGCGCTAGGGCTCCTCTGTGAAAGCTGGCACATCTGGTCCCTGACATTTCATCCCCGTGGTGACAAAATCAACCCTAGTTTTGAACTGCAGTAAGAGTAGAAAACAAAATATATGTGACCTCTTACACTGATAGCTCTCACTAATACCAGACAACAGACTGGCACAAAGGTTGCATATTTCTGTGTAAGGAAGAAACCAGATTATGATCCTCCTGGGATTGTAGAGCAGACAAAAATAGAAGCCTTAATCAACCATGCAGTTTGTGAACTTAGTCTGTAGGGACATGTAAATACATTCAGCCAAAATCAAGCACTTAAACAAAAGCATTTATTTCTCAAAGAAACTGAGCAAGCTGCAGACATTTTGCCCAGTGCTCTACAAAGACAACCGATAGGAAGAATTTCTCACTGGGCTGCAATGAGAGATGTTAGTAAACACCAGTTTCATTGAAAGCATTTCTTTTCAGGCTGGGATATGATAGTCCAGGTATCAGCTGCTGTCACACAGGAAAGTGCCCTTTGCACCATTTTTGATATCAGCAAGCAGAGACCCTCGTGCAAAGGGCACTTCCAGTCCACAACTGCCCAATGCAACAGCAGCAAAAACTGCTGGTCAGTGGTAGCGTATAGAAATGGGAGTGAGAAAGCAACCACAGAGCAGGTAGCAGGCACAAGTGTAGGAGGGCCCTACACTGCTAGAAAGGACACGCTCTGGCTGCAGCTGGCACTGTCCTCATGACAAGCTCGGATGCATCTGTCATGAGGCAATACACCAGCCAGCAGGTTCCCCCTCCATCCATCAGATGCTCACCCAGCCCAGCACAAAGACTTCATGAAGGAATAAGGAAACCAAGAGTTTTGGGAGAACAACAGCTGGCACATTAAGTAGGGAAGAAAGGACTTAGGAAGACGTCACATGGAGCTTTTTAAGGATTAAACAAATGCTTTTCAAGAATGTTGTCCCTTGCTCTTCACCAATGTTTGAAGAAGCTCTTTATGTCTTACCTTCCCGAATGGCTGTAAAGGGCACTCCCTCCTCTGCCTCCAGCCTGATCATTTTCAGTGCCACCAACTGACCATTGATCCTGTCAGGTCAGAGTGGAAGATCACATGAAGCATTTCAGTGCTCAGCACAACAACATTAACAGTCTCCTGGGGTGCACCACGCAAAGAAAATTTCTAGGGCTCGCTCCCCCAACCAGGCCAAGCTCAGAAAGGAATTGCAAACCACTCCCACCTTGTCTTCATTAGCAGCAAAATGAAACTGTCTGGCGAGAGTACCACCGTTCTGCTCACCAGTTATTGCTATAGCATGGCTTTGGGCATGCTATGTGAGAGGGCACTCTGCCCTCACATCTTTCCTGCCCCCATGGGATGGCAGCATGGCCTCACCTACAATTTTTCCATCATGCAGCAATCCCTCATTCCAAGGAAAACCCTTGCTCCCTCCCTGATGCAGCTGGACTTGGGATGCTGCTGCAGAGCCAGGTGTCTTTGTGGAGCCTCCGTACCTGTAGTGGAGGAGTTCCCTGAAAAACTGGGATGGAGCCTTGCTAATATCCTGGCTAAAGGCAAAACTAGGCTTTTGATTTGCCTTGATCTTCTGGTAAATACTCTGAATTGCCCACCTTCAAGCTCATTCTTAGAGATTCCCTAAAGGGGTGCTTTCAGCAGGCACTGGGAAGGCAATAATGGAATCGGTGGTTCTTGCTCACCTGCTGATTCCCTTATACACAGTTGCACAGGACCCTTCACACAGCTTCTCTAGATGTACATAGGATGTGGCAGCTCCAAATGGGATGCCTTGTCTCTGCTTCATAAAGAAATTCATATGTATTTTAGATTGCTGGGTAGAACAAGAAGCTACTATGATGTCATTCAGTAATTAAATACTGATTCATGGCTGGAATAATCATAGGATGAAATATCTCCTTTCTGGCTCTATGGCTGCTGCACACTCACCCATTTGAACCTCTCCACAGCATCCTGCTCCTGCAAAGGATCAGCATAACTCCAAGGCCTCTGGCTCCTCCATCTCTGGAGGGTGTGGAGCCATGGGGGCTGCAGTGAGGGTAGAGGAAGGGATGCTCTGGTTACATCTGACAGCTGGCACAGGAAAAGAAGGCAAACTGTATCACTGGCAAGCCACCATTTTACTGATGTGATTCTTTCTCCTTGACTGCACTGGCTTTGAACGCTTAACATGATTTTCATCTCCCCCCCTGACCAGTTACAGATCTCCAGTACAGTTTCTCAGGGGAGAAGAAGGGGAGCAACTATCTGTCATATACGTATGTTATATATGTTACCTGTTTGCTATATGTATGTTCCTTTCCTGGTAAATGGTAGAGCTCACTCTGAGAACACAGGAAGATACAGCTGCCTTAACTGCAGGACACTTCTACCAGTATCCTTCTAAATGCATGTTATTCTTTCTTACCCTTGATTTATCTGTCTCTAGACAGCAATCTGTTAGGGCAGGGACTAAAAACTGAATGCAGGAGTGAAATTTCAGTTTAAATTTATGTCATCTTCTCCTCCTTAACCCCTTGCCCCTCCCCTTCCTCACCACTGTATAATTTACACAGCCTGTTAATTTGGCCCATAGAGCATAACCGTGCCATAAACTATAAAAATAGTAGTAATGAATGGCAGGCAGCCTGCAAGCTCCTCCTGAGCAGTGACATTGGATGGGTGCCTGCATTATCATTTGACTCAAATATAACAGGATTTGCAATCCATGGCATGCTGCCTCCTCCAGAACTGTAGGTTGTTGGCTCCCTCCCTGTTTTACAATCCCTCATTGGCATAGAGCTTGCTAGAGTGCAATCTTCTTCCCGTTCATCACATCAAAGGCATTTATTGTCATCTAAGGCGTACAGTCCTCTTTCAGTAGCTGCACAAGCCTGATGCTGCAAAGTTTGGTGCTGTCTGGTTAGAAGCAAATGTGAATGTTTTGCACTCGCACAAGAAGGGGAAGAATCCAAGCTTAACCTGTCTCAATTCAGAAGTATCACGCTGTGATGTTAAATACCTCTGCTGTAGACGCTGCTTCCGTGCGCTGAAGGCCTTGGGTGTGTTGGGAGCCCCTTCTCTCTGAACAGCAGCTGCAGCATCCTGGTCTGACAGCACTTGCACACAACATGTCTCCCATGTTGTCCTGTTTCAATTAAAGTCTTTCTCTTGTTTTCTCCTTTGCTCCTCCTCATCCCTCGGTCTGTAGTAACAGTTCATGTGACTCGCATGAGGTCTCTGCCTCAAGCAGTCTTGTGATTTCTGCAGTTTTTCTTTGAAAGGCCAACGCGCACCCCTGGAGCAGCTCCATTGAGTTCAGCTCATTTGGCACGTGCCCTCCAAAACCAGCCAACATTTTTTCATCCCTATAGATGGAGAATTAAGCAATAAATCCAGACTTTCTGCTCGTACAAATTTATTTCAGTTAAGCAACGCTGGGTGTAGTGTGTTAGGTAATGAAGTGATAGGTTTCATACAGGAACAGGCCTTGACTTCCCTCCATGCCTGTAACAGTTATGGTCCTATATGCCATCAGGCTTTAAGTTGAGCTATCTGAGCAGTGTGGCTGAGTCGTGCTTTTACAGCAGGAGCTGTACCTTGACTGTCCTTGCTTCAGCATTCACGTTCTTAGCTGTGATGCTGTGGCAATGTCAGCATGGGGAGCTGTCTGTCTCTGTTGCATAAATAATGCTTGCATTTTAAAGGAATAGAAAGATAAATGCATAAGAAGTAAACAAAATAAAATTATACATTTTAATTCATATGAAGATTATTATCTTAGGTACGTTCTGTGTCAGGGATTAGGAGGGAATTAACTCTGTTATGAAGAAAAATCATCCAGCTTTTGCTGGTAAATGAAGAAAGCATGGGAATTGAAAAAAAATTATTGAAAAAAAAATAAGAGTATTCATTCCTGTTAGCAGAGGAAATTCTGTAATAGAAAAATTTAATACTTATCCTTAGAAAATGTAAGAGTTTATAAAGGAGAGCCTGTACTTGCCTTCGGAACCATAGTTTTTAAAGGAAAGCTTCAGGCAATATAAGAAATAGCGCACTCGTTGCTGACATAACATAAAAAGGGCCCTTTGCAAAGCTTATTCAAGTAGAAACGTATAGATAGCATGTATATAGAGAGAATTATGTATTTTAAGCATATTTGGTAAAATTTGTGCATGTATAAAAGCATACGTAAAATGTGTGTGTGTGCTATTAGCATGTACACACGTACCTCCGCCTCACTCTAAATGCAGAGGCGGCTTTTCCTGCGGGAAGGCTCTAGGTTAACCCTGTCAGAAACCCGTGGTGCGCCCATTTAAACCAGCAGCCAGCCTCAGAGGGTTTGTGGCGTGGGGAGGGTCGAGGATTACTGCTGGTTATCGGTCAGGGCTCCTGGGTAGGCCACAGCCTTCTCTTTTATTTGTGCCTCTAATATTTTAAAACCTATCTTCGGGTGCCTTCCTTGCACTCCGGGTGCCAGCACCGTCACGCTGGCACCGCACAACCGACTTCAGGCTCTCCTCTTGACTGGCCTCGTAAGCGCTGGGATCACCCGCTCCCTGCAGGAGGCCGTGCCGCGCCGCTCCCGGCGAGCGGATCTCGCCCTGTTTTGTCCCGGGCGGGGACCCGTCGCCGGGCCCGCCCCCCTCGGGGCTGCGGCCTCTTTACCTGACGCCCTTGCGCGCGCGCGCAGGCCGGTGACGGGCTCCGCCCCCTGCAGGAGGGAAGCCCCGCCTCGCGCCCCCGCGTGAATCAGCTGATCTGCGCCCCGGCGGCGGGACGCGGCGCGGTGTCGGGTGAGCCGGCAGGCAGGTGCGCGCGGGGGTAAGCGCGGAGCCTGAGTCACGTGGGGCCCCGAGGAGGGGTGGGTGCACGCGCGCGCGCGTGGGACGTTACCCGCCCCCGCTGCCCCCCAACGGCCCCGTGCAGCCGTTAGTCGCACGCGCGCTCCCTCAGCCCGCTAACGGCCTCTCGCAGCTGCCCCCCGCTCCTGCCTGGGGCGTCTCTCCCCTCAGGCCGTCCCGCTGGGAGCAGCTTTGGCAGGGCAGGGGCTGCCCTGGCCGCAGGGCAACAGGTGGGGAAAGTTTTGGGGGGGGTGATGGTGGTTTTATGAGGAGCAGCGGGGGAAATGGCTCCCCTGCCCTGAAAGGAAACGGGGAGTACAGCGGTGTGGCGGGAACCTGGTTGGCCGGAACGCCGCGGCCCCTGCGCCTCCCACACCTGAGCTTTAGGGCGGGAGGGGGTGTGCTGTTGTATTGCACCGGTGATCAGGGAACAGGCCCCTTCTTACTAGGAGCTGGGCTTGAGAAGCTGGAGGAGAGGATAAAGAACAGCTCTGACTGAAGGTGCTGGCCCACCAACTCTTCTTGCCCTGTTGAGATTTATTTCTGTAGATTCCTAAAGGACTGTTCTCTCTTGATGGGGAAAGACCGTCTAAGCTTGAAATAGAGTACCTTTTGTCTGCTTCCACTTTCGTTTCAAAGTCCTTTCTCTTCGCATGGCTTGATTGCTCGGGAGTAAATGCTGTTTCAAATGTCGGATTCTATTGAGCAATAATCTAGCGTGGTTTTCATATTGTTTACAGGTGAGGTAGGCATACAGTCACAGACTTCCAGCACAAAAATATTTTGGTGAGATGCCAGGGAGCAACTAGAGTAGTTGTAGATGACTGGTAGTTTATGTCTGATGTCAGGAGTTTGCTACCACTGTTGTGATGCAGTGACTTATGAAAGCTATACTTGCCATGTGTCAGTTTCTACGGAGTTAACTGTTTTCAGAAGGGGAAGCACCTCAACATGTGCTACATTGAGACCATGTAATTTCAAAAGAAGAGGAGGAAGAGATGTTCAGAAATTTTTGAATCTCTTATGAGTTTGGTAAACTTTAAATTATTCATTACATGCTCTAGCAGATAGTTTTCAGCTGTGTTCTTTTAGCTGAGACTAGGCCCTTTTTGTTCTGTTTTTTTTTTTTTTTTCCTGACTCTTTACTGTTATACCTTGATTGCTACCATCACTCATTCACTGGAACTGGTATTAAAAGCTTTGAGCCCTCATCTGAAGGGATTGCTGCTGTCTTTTAGTAGCAAGTTGTTTTGCTTTGCTCTGAGCAGATCTTAATCACACAATGGGAAAAACAGTAGTTACACCTAGTCAGTGCTGACCAAAACACAAGGGCTTCTTGAACTAGTAACCCATTATATGTGAACCAGAGTTAGCAATAATAAATTATGATATATATCTAGACAAGACTAATGTTGACAACTCGGTTTTGAATTAGGAATCTTGGAGGTAACCTCCTTTAGAACCTGAATAGATGATTTTGTATAACAAACTTGCAGTCTTGGTAGTGCGAGTTGTGGCTAAATATGGTATATTAAAAGTGTGTTTGTAAATATGTAAGTAAACATGCCTGAAAGTTGTACAAGTATTTGTAGTATTTATTAACTGTAGCAGGTAAATAAGCACGTGAGGCTGATGGGAGTTCTTGTATTTCTGAAAGTCAGGGTCATACCAGTTGTTTCTGTTTAGCATTGAATTTTATACCTATGATGCTTATTACTGAGTGGTCAATGTCCAGTGAAGGTTGTTGTCCCATAATAATAAGAGTAATGTTTACTCCACAGCACTCCCTGCCGTAGCAGTTATTATAGTGTGGTAGTGTTTGATTTCTGGAGAATTTGAATTAGCATTCTGCTCTGTAAGTGGAAAGTATGACATCAGTGTTACGCTAGTGACCATCTGTCTGTAACACAAATCCATTTCATAATTTGGCACTATTTGGCACTCTTTGCTTTTTCCCCTCTTACAGTGTTGAAGCAAAAATGTAGAAAGTAAATGTATGGGTGTAGAAAGGAGGTAAGTGCAGGTATTGGTGTCATGCTGATCTTCCATACCGTGGGAATGATGTGTTGTGCCTAGCTATTCACTCCTGTGAACATTAAACCTAAAACCAGTTCAGGTAATCTTAGTGGAAAAGAAATAACATATATGTAATGCTACAATGTAATATTATATAAATGTGAAATTAAATGAAGATTGGCAAGGAAAAGTGTATATTCCTGTTGGGAGGAAGAAATTTTCTATTTATAAGTATTTAGTTTGTAGCTGTGACGAAATTACTTGTATTTTGTATTAGCTGTGAAATGGGAATAATACTGTGCTGTCCCAGAAGTGAATGAAAACTTGCAAATTATTTGTAGATGTTGTAAAGGTGTCTCATCTTTGGAACGAAAACGGTTTGACTGTCATTTTCCCTAATATGCACAAATGTTTAGCAATGCAACCTTAAGTGTGATTTTCGTAAAGAAAACAAAATTTGTTGCCACCATCATATCACTCTCTTAATTTTTAGTCCACCAGTATTGCAGGTTTCTTACTTAATAATTACACAAATAATTTTTCAATTGGGCCTTCAAGGGAGATATTGCAGAACAGCTTATCAGGTGCCTGGCCCTAACATTGTTTAGTTATAATCAGAAGTTTTTGTGAGAATTACAGTACATTTTTGTGCATTTGAAGTTCATGAAAAGGAAAGAAATGGAGTCCTTAAAAAAATAAAAATAATTTTAAAAAATCTCTTAATTATAGAAGTGAAGAATTTTTAGCCTCGTCCCTGATCTTGAGTAAATATATACGATGTAAATGATTATTGTTTGCTACTTTGACTCTATAGATAATTATATTTGAAACTATAGTTCTTCACAGAGAAGAGCCAGCATTTTCAAGAAAATGAACTGTAGGGTTAGGTGGCTTTGAGTAGGCTAAAGAAAACCTCAAATGTACTTACTCTGAGCAATAGCACATCACAAGGTTAGAAGCTCTGAAAATACACTTCTATTTTCCTTTGATGTTTAATCAACACCTTTGTTACTGAAGTAGTGCATGGCAGTTTCCTTATATTTGTGAGACTTTGTTAATATTTTAAAAGTTAACTTTTACAGTTGTAGGTGGGGTTTTTTTTCCCTTTTTTTTAGTTGAGGAACGAGAGACAAGAATGTCTTCAAAGCAGTATCTTCCTGGTGACAAGTGGCAGCTTAGTGTGTATTCCTAGAAAGTGTGTTCTGATTTATTTTTTTTTTTAGAGCAAGGTGCATATGACTTATCACAATACTATTATATCATATTAATTTGATTTCATATT